TGAAGTTTTGTTGTATGTAATGGGATTATTATAGTAATCTATCGTGGATAACCCTTCACATAATGTAACATCACGGTAAATCTATTTTCCAAAGCTGACGACGTAACGTAGCTCTAATATGTGTTGATTTGTGACATTTTGCTCACCATCACGTATGTTTTTCCATTTTCCCGTCCTGTTCTGTCTCTCTCTTCATGTGTGCTGATATTTTGTTTGAATAGAGTTTGAATCTGATATGTTTGAAAAATGCCAGGTAAGTGGGACAAGTGAGAAAAATAGGGATGCACGTCATCATTATGGGCCGATATTGGCTTTAACTTAAATATCAGAATCCAGAAACCAACATGCTTTTTCTTAATTTGCACAATGAGCAAATATTTCATGCGTTGGAAGGTATTGTATTTTATGTCTCCATATGCTGGTGGGCCATCATGATAAGAGTACGCATGTACGTATAATATGCTGTTAATTCCACTACAGAAGAGTCTTGATGATCATTAAAACAGGGTGGGGAAAAGTGGATATATTGATATCTGTATCAGTTAAGTATTGGCATATCGGATATCGGCAAAAAATCAAATATCATGCACCCCTAGAGAAAAAAAAAGTTGTTATGGGTCCTTGAAAAGTCATGGAAAAAGTGATGGAATGAAAATGTGCATGATAGTGTGTGTGAACCCTGATTATAGTGACGCATTCTGTCTGCTTCCTTCTAGTGAGCTTTCTACAGAGTGGGACCAAGCTGTTGTTCCGCAGGAGACATCGAGAGAAGGAGCCCTGCCTCAGCCAATCCCATGAAGACATCTCCAACATGGGCAATAACTTTGCTGCCGCCGCGGCCATCAGCCGTAAAAAGTCCGGCAGCTTCTCCAGGCGTCTCATCAAACGCTTCTCTTTCCGCTCATCAGGCAAATCGAAAGGCAAAGCTACCAACGGAGGAGCGGGCTCACTGGATAACTGATCATTAGGGCGGGACATGGGACATCCTGACTTAAACGTTGTCTGTTGTCACTGTCAGAAGAAGAACTAAACCTTGCAAGAGTCCAGTCTTGGACAGGCTGAACACCCCAGGCGGGTTGTCAGAGGATACCTCTGGGAGGGCTTTCCTCAGGAGAGAAGTGATTGCACCATCAGGACTGAAGTCACGTTTAATCACATGTGATTATGAAAACTGTTTCTTTGAGGAGAAATCTGCTGCTCAGTGAGGGGAAGGTGATACAGTTTGAACACAAACTACAGCGGGAGTGTTCGAGCGTGACTGATGGTGGGAATGCTCTTATACTATTTAATGATATAAAATGCCAGTATGATGCTATCGGTTGCACTTTGGACTGTTTTATAACAGCACATGTAAAATTCCTGAGTTATATAACAGTTATTTATTATTATGTGGTTCTCATGAAACAAGTGCTATTTATTTTAAACCCCCCCCCCCCAAAAAAGACGAGTCATCATGGTTGCATCACTGTAAAATAGAGACATTGCTGTGTGTTTTTCCCACGCTGATGTAATTTTAAACACATAGTTTCAGTAAGTTAACAAATGCAGTCTTACCTAGCAGTCCATTCATAATTGCTTATACGTTGGTTTTAGGATGTTGTTCAACGTTGTATCTTATATAAGAAACAGAAAATAATATATTTATTGTACTTTTTATTTTATAAAGGTACTTTCTGTGGAATATTATAACGCATTTCAGTTCGCTTCTGAAACCAGCCAGGATCTCTCTCAGACTCAAGCCGGGCAATAAGTTTAAACTTTTTTCTGTCTGTATAAAAGAGAATACAAAACATGGTCAGGTCCTGTTCTCCTCGTGGCCGCTGTCACTCCAATAAGTCAAACGTGCATCTACACATATTACAGAGACTTAAGTTGATGCTCATGTGGACATTTCATTAATGCATTAACTCTCAGTCACTCTCGTTGCAGGCAAAATAATTTGCAGGAAATCATAATCATAAACTAAACATTGCAAAACCTATCCTACATTAATTATCATAATGTGTCTTTTTAAATACAAGTCTCACATGAGTGACAGTACTGTACCAGTTCTGCAGTTTCGATTGGTAAAACAGAACTTTGAGGTTGATGCTCTGCTCGAAATTCACGACAGCATGATGGGTGGAGTCGACATACTCAGGGCTAGAAATGAAACGGTTACTAGCAACTAGAGATAAGAGGAAACCTGCTGTGTCCTTCAAAGGCAAACAGAAGCAGTGTGTAAAAATGTACATACATTTTTGGCCATTTGTGTTTTTGTCAGAGAAAATCAAAAATCCTTTAACTGACTGCATCGATTATGAGACTTCAGAACAACCAAACTAAATGATTTTGAGAACATTTGCAGGGTATTTTGCATCATAGCTAATAATAAAAGGGATCCAAGAAGTGGAGCTGCTGCTGTCAAACGGACCACATGCTTTACGAAACTACAACCAATTCATAATGCTGAAGAAATGAAAAAAAAAAGCCACTTCATTGTCTAAAGACACATAATAAACACTATATCGCTGGAATGTGAAACAGACAGCGGCTACAAAATTTAAGAAATGTATGATTTTTGTTGTTATATTTGAAATGTTTAATTTATTGCAAATAAATTATTTTTGGAGCATCACTACATTATTTATGACTACTTTTTAGGAGGTAACAGACATTTGTCACATATAGAATGGAATATGAGACATAGTATGAGGTGTAGTAGTTCAGTGATAATATAGTAAAGCAATGTAGTGCAGCAGAATTACCTCATTATTTGGTACACTATGATATAGAATAGGATAAGACAAGGTAAGATAAGGTGTAGAGGTTTAGTAATATAGTACAACAATGTAGGATAGATTAAAATAAACCATTTTTATGGTTAGAGTATTGTACAACAATATAACATAGTGTAAGAAATAATAGTATGTAGTATACTACAGCAATATAGTATCAGATATCTTACATCATGTCACTGCATATATATATATATATATATATAATTACTAGCTTGTGTGGTTCTTTCCAAGGTTTCATTATTCTCACAGGCCAGCTATACTATGTTTCTTTTTATTTTACCAAGAAAAAGCTCTTGAGATTAAAAACCTCTTACAAGAGTGGTTTTCTTTCAAATCTGAAGGGTTTAGAAGGTATGTTTTCTTTAAAAATCGCAAAAAATTATACCATTTATTATAGCCAGAAACCGTAAAACCATATTAATGTTGGATTTTCACATTTCCTATGGTCCTTGAACCTATTATGTGGGACAAATGCTTCCCTCAGAAAGAAAAACATGAGAAAATCTAAGCTTAAAATAGTGCTGTTTAATCAAAATCACATTATTCTACATTACTCATTTTAAATTTGACCAAATAAACAAGAGTGAAAAGTCAAGGCTTTTTTCAAATCCAGGATTTCATCTTCAACTTTTAACCTTTAAACATCAAAAGGTAAGTTTTTAAAATCGAACAGCTAATCTATGGTGGAGGAGGGGTCATACATTTCCCCAAAGTCACTCAGGGAGGCTCAGGGAAGAATGTTTGCAGCTTTGGGGGAGGGTCAAAAGGAAATAAAATCACACTCCAGCCAGCCAGTCAACTCCCCTCCCCGATAAGTAGAGAACAGTCCCCTAAAGGAACAACTCAGGAGCTGCATACATGACGGCTTTTTTGCCAAACTCCATGCATACCCTAGGTTAAACCAAAGGGTCCAATATGGCCCTCTAGATGACATTGCACACCTAATATTGATGCACATGAGAAGGCTGAGAGGTTTCAGGAGCAATTTAAACAGTGAGCAGATACTTCATGTAAAATACTGCCTTGGAGGCTTTTCCACTCTGACCAGAATACAACTCTCTTAAGCAACAATAATACTTACTGAGGTCATATTTAAAGATACTGAACATTGTGCAAAATATTGTCAACCAACAGCATCAGTACAAAAGAATCTGTATCAGACTTCTGTCTTAAAACAGTATTAGTGGGAGTGGGTGCTGCTGAGGCACTGACAAAACTTCAGATTGTAAGACAAGGGATGACTTAACCTGCCTCTTCGACAGCTTCCACTGTAGTAGAAAATGAAAGTGAGCAGTAGATGGACTGACTGTGGAAACAGTAAGGCATACTGTTGAATTTGCACATAATTTTTCTTATGTCTTTGTTAGGTAAATGGATGAACGTTTTCAGAATGAAAGGAAAATTTGAAGGGGTTGATATTTATAGGTTATTTTGCAGTGGTTTTACTGCTCTGGCCCTCTTGAGATCGAATTGGGCTGCATGTGGCCCCTGAAATATAATGAGTTTGATACCTCTGTCTGAGACAAACATAATCGACTAACATAGCAATTTTACATTTTTTTCTTAATGTACACACATAAATATGCTGGATGTAGGCCAAGAAAAGCTTTGTAAATAAGAAAATGCCCATGAAAAGAAACAGGAAAACGGGATACAGTGACAAATAAGGGGCTGACATTTAATAAAGAATCTCATTGCATCATGATATACACAGGCCAGAGCATACAAACAGGATGCATCTCTTTAATCCCTTTAATCTAGAACAGTAGCAGAGACCAAAGAAAAGCAGCTTCTATTTCTGAACTAAAAAAAAACCCAGTTTCAGTTTTTTCACTAGGAAATATATAAAATGTTTAAGTTATCTTATATTGTAACACTAGTGTTATGGAATTCTGCTTAAAATGTGCTTTACTTTCACTGAATAACTTAAAATACCGCCAAAAACTTGAAGCTGGAGGGAAGATACTCGATTGGTTTTCTCTGTCCGCCTCTTAACACATGACCCAACCACAACAAGCCGGAAACGCAGCAGCCAATCGCCTGTGTTTCTTCCTCAGGACCAATCTTGGTTGGTTTGAGGCCAGAGGCAGATACACCAATAGTCAGTGACTTCTCGTCCCCTTTGACCTCTCACAGCCAATCACAGGTGACGATTTCAATTCCAACAGCCAATCACGTTCTAGGGCGGGACAAAGCCGGGGGTTTATATCCAGGTTGTGCGGCTCTGGGGTGCACATCGTTTGCCAACTACCACCTTTGCAAGTTTCAGAAGTGGACGAGATCTTCAACCGATAATGTCTGGAAGAGGAAAAACCGGAAAGGCCCGCGCCAAGGCCAAGACCCGCAGCTCCCGTGCCGGTCTCCAGTTCCCTGTGGGCCGTGTCCACCGTCTCCTCCGCAAGGGTAACTACGCTGAGAGAGTGGGCGCCGGAGCTCCCGTGTACCTGGCCGCAGTGCTGGAGTACCTCACCGCTGAGATCCTGGAGTTGGCCGGCAACGCCGCCAGAGACAACAAGAAGACCCGTATCATCCCCCGCCACCTGCAGCTGGCTGTCCGCAACGACGAGGAGCTGAACAAACTGCTCGGCGGCGTGACCATCGCCCAGGGCGGCGTCCTGCCCAACATCCAGGCCGTGCTGCTGCCCAAGAAGACCGGCCAGTCTGCACCGAGCTCCGGCAAGGCGGGAAAGAAGGCCTCCTCTCAGTCTCAGGAGTATTAGCTTGCTGGCTAATAACTTTTACCCCAAAGGCCCTTCTAAGGGCCACCCAACTCTCATTGAAAGAGCAGCGTTTCCTGTTGTTGCTGTCTTGTTTCATTTTTTGCATTTTTATTTAATAAACGCTTGTTTTGTAAAAGTGGTCAGCACCATCTCTTGTAGGTTAACGTTAGCTTGAGCTAACGGTACTTGCTAGCTATGAGTATCAAGTCTTGCTAGCTATTAGTCGGTAAGCTAATGAATCAAGCTAACCCTTCAGTGTCCAGCAGATCTGGGTAGGCCACAGCTCTCTGCTCTTAAAATATGAGGTTTAAAGTTCATAAGGTAACATATGTGTCTTTAAACCTGTGTGACTCATTCAGTAGGCCTTTACAGGGTTATTGGACCTGCTGGTTAAAATACTTAGTTACCTATGTTCCCAGCAGAGAAATTTGGCTGTGGCAATAAAAGTAAAGAACCTAACAGAAATAGAGCAGTAAAACACAAGAACATTTGAGCACCACTCTGTTAAAATGACTGTTGCTGATAAATTAGCAGTGGTAGGATTGATGGCTACACATTTAAAATGTGTTTAAACAATGTAGGGCAGGGGGATATGTGTAGAGTATAAGATCATGCACTGTGGGTTCTTGCACCAGAACCTGCAACACAGCCTGCAGGTGGCTGTCCAACTGGCTCTCTGTAGCATGACTGTGCAACTTTGTGCAAGATGGGCTCTGGGTTCACATTTAACACTGCAGTTCTCATTCTGCTTACATAAAAGCATAGCCACAGAGTAGAAATTTTAATAAAACCAGGGTTGGGAACTCACTTGTTTGTCCTCTAGCCTCTCTGCATGATGGATTTCAAAATCTACCAGCCACTTAATAAATTAGAATTGTTTTCAGGCTGGTGAGATCAGCAAATCCAGCAGCCACTTGCATATTTTACCAGCATTTAGCTGAGGGGCTGGAGAAATTTTCCAACCCTGAGTCAAGCTATAGACCAATAATTGTCCAGTTTATTAAATGAGCATAGCTAAAATTGATTCAGTATAATGCAGCAATAAATGCTACCAGTTTGAAACTGTGGTGTTGATACAGTCATTTCAGAAGCTGTGGTGCAGTTATACTTTGTCTATCCCAGGCACCACACACTACAGCCTCCAAAATGATTGAAGTTTAATCGACACCTCTAAAAATATCACTATTTTACGCTTAGATTTGGATATGTGTTTTTTCTGTGGGAAGTGTTCATCCAACATAATGGGTTCCAGGACCGTAAGAAATTTAAAAATCCAACATTAATTTTGATTATACAGTTTCTGGCTGTGATAAATGGTGTAATTTCGGTGATTTTTAGAGAAAACATAACTTCCAAACTTGTCAGATTTAAAGAAAACCACCTTTGAAAAGGAGAATTTTAATCTCAAGAGGTTTTTCTGGTTAAATAAAAAATAACAACAAAAACAGTATAGCTGGCATGTGTGAACTGAACATGGCTTTTATGAAGGCTGCAACACTATTAAATTGCATTAGCTATAGTTAGTGTGTCTAAGAAGCAGACAGCTGTTTGTATGTTGATGCACAAACCCACATTTAGATATAGGGCATGTTGATTTGAAGATTGTCTGTGGGATTTCACCCGTCAAAACAGTTTTCTCCAGGTGGAAGTGTCCTGAATTGAGTGTTGGTGCATCTGTTAGTTAAAGCATGCATGACACAGTAACGGTTCTTTGTGCTTGAAGCCCCAGGTGCTTCCTTGTAACATATGAGGAAAAAACAGCTGCAGCCAGTTAACAAGCATGAGCAGTAACATCTGATGTGGCTCTGATACATCAGACATACAATTTGGATTAAAGGGATAGTTTGGATTTTTTTTGAAGTGGGGTTGTATGGGGTACATATCCAAAGTCAGTGTATTACATACAGTAGATGTCAGTCGGCACGCCCCCACTTTGGAGAAGCAGGCTGGAGTCGGACATGGAAGCTACGCAATCTACTGCTGCATAGGGGTCAGCAACAACACATGATTTAGCCACCTTAAAAAAGTCCCAACTAGAAAAATCAGTATCAGTTTAAGTGTATGCTTCACCGTCAGACAGTGATTTTCAACAGGGAGGATACTACTGTCTTTAGTTCCTCACTTATGGTCTCACCAAAGGCACCAGGCTCCACTGACAAAAATAAATAATGCCCTCTACTTACTAACTCCACTATTCACATTTGTAGTACATGTGATCAAAATAAGGCAAATAATCATTAATTCAAGCAAGAGGCGCTCTGTTGTATGAGACAAAGGCTGTCAGCCTATAGTAGCATTTGGATAAAGTTCCAACAAATCGTGTGAGTAATTTTTGGTAGTGTATTAAGATTGAAATATGTTATCATTTGCTACCCTCTTTATATATAGTTATATATAATATAACTTGACACTTAGCTTTCATAAAATATCATGTGAATTAGTGTTGAGAGGTTAAAAGTCTTTGTCCAGTCAGAGAGGGATGTGGTCTAATTATACAGCTATCGGTGCAAATTAGGGATGCAAGATCATATCGGCATGTCATCGGTATCGACCAATATCAGCTTCAAAATGAAAAATCAGAATCAGCCAACATGCTTTTTCTTAATTTGCACAATGAATGAATATCACATATAGTACACTGAAAAGTATTGTATTTCATGTCTCCATCTGCTGGTGGGCCATCGTGATAAGAGTATGCATGCAAAAACCTAGAATATCTCAGCTGGCCAACTGAAGTCTACATTAGAAAAAAATCCCCACCATGCAAACTCCATGATGATGCACATTAGGTTGCATAAAACAAAGTCATGGCCTCTGACAGCTACACAGCACAGCGATCGGACAACAAACACACCCAAGAGTTACGAATGCAGGTGGTACAGCATGCTGGAAAAAGGCAATGCAACAGCATGACTGATGTACCAAGTCTTCATTGCTATAATCCATTGTTTCTGTTGTGGATACAGTCTGGCTTTTGCTGCCCCCAAGTGGCCTAAGAATGCAGTACCTGTCGTTAAAATATACAAAAAAAGTTATACATACAGTTCCTACATACAGTCCATACAAAACTATGGCTATTCACAATCCCACACCTCAGTACCTCCAGTGCATGTACAGACTGCCATCAGCCAACAAACTGCATGCTGCCCATTGCACCACACATCTGTTTTACAAAGTCATTTGTAATATATATATATATATATATATATATATATATATATATAGAATATGTTTCAAGATCCAATTGATAATCAGCCCAAAATATTCTCACATATACACACTGAACAATAACTAAAACATTAAAAAATAAAACCTTTAAAAGTTTAGTGAGTGAGTTTGAGCTGTCAGCTGCTGGCCTCCGTTGCTATGGCAACACACTGAAATGCAACAACCTTATCAATTCACTTCACTACAATTTGTAGCCCACAGACAAAATCACAAAGTTCAGTATGAACTTTATAACCTGAGAGCAAAATGTACTTCACTGACTTTGCCACCAGGGGTCAATTGTTTCATGCCTAATAATCTGGGACGTGTGCGACGTGTTGATGCCCATGTGTGTTTCCATTAAATAACAACTGAATACAGCTCACTTCACATATTGTTCCAGCAGATATTCAAAGCATGCGCCTTATTGTAACACCAGGAAAAGACTGATGACAATGTTTCCTGCTGGAAATGAAAAAATCACAACTGACATTAAAACACTGAAATATCTGAAGAACTATTTTAAGGATCCATCAGTCCTTCTAACAGTCACACTTAATTATTCTATGTGTGGGATTTATAAAAGTGGTGGTGATCTTGATGTAATCTGTGGCGTGGATTACTTGTTTTCTCATTACATCTCAGACATGCAGCTAAAAGAAATCACCCACAACCTTTCCGCCTGCAGATATTTCTGTCTGCTTCCAGTGTTTTATTAGTGGCAAAAACAGCGTGACGCACTGAGTCTGAACCGAGCCCAGGACAGGCTGAACCAATTACTCGGGCCTTGACAACGTGTCCAACACCGACAGCCGGGCCCAAAATTCCAGGCTGAGAGGAAAAACTTGAGCGTCCATTGGCTGTGATAACTATAATTTCCTGATTGGTGCTCGGTCAGAGGCTCTAAATTTAACAGCTCCTCTCAGCTGTTGGTGACAAAGCAAACAGTGATATTCAGCTTATCTCGATTTACCTCTGCTTTTTCTGGGACTGTACAGAATGTATGTGACTGTATCCATGAAGCAGAGATGTAAGGTCACAGAAACTGTCTGGGAAATATCACTTGTGCTTTTCTAAAAGTGCGAACAAAGGCAATCTGATCTGTCATGAGTTTAAAGTGATCTCATCCTGACACTGTTTCCATGTTTTGTTAATTACAGCTTGGCGGAATAATGAATGGAACAAGTGTTTCCTAAAGCTAGTTACTGAAGGGAAACTATGCACTGAGTACAGTCTGTACATCTTATAGGACAAATCTGCCTTGTGAAAAAAAAGAGCAATGTTAGATTCAAATGGATGGGAAAAAGAAAATAAGAGGGGAGAGAAAAAGGGCCGGAAAGAGGGGTGGATCCGACAGAAAGATGTATGTGGATGCACTGAATGTTTCACTTTACAAACTGTCCCGGGCAGCAGTGAAGGACTGACAGCATATTTCCATCCTCGAGGAGAGAACCAGGAGACTTTTCTCATGCAGAGCTGGGAAGATGCCTCGTCTCTTGTGTTTTTAATCTTTGGACTGAATCATCCCGCAGACGAGGAGATGTTCGTAGCCAGCTCTGGTAATGAAAAACACAAACATTTGCTTGATAGTGTGTAGCAATGGGAGAGTATGTGGGAGAGTGGAGGAGATAATGGGGCTATTGTGGCATTTTACACTCATGGTTTTCAGCCTAATGTGACCCAGTTATCTCACTCATTGTGCACCGTGTGTGAGAGACTTCACATACTTTTAATATTGTGCATGCTTATTTATAACTTCGACATTACAGAGCAGGTGAAAGCCATTTAGTTTCAGAAAGAGAACAGTTTAGGAGCCAAACCCAGCCATGTCTGTGAATGGACACTTTCATGTGTGTGTGAAATCAGCCTGCCTTTAGGGCTCCTGCGTCCAGTCATGTACTTTGGTGGAATTACAGGCTGATGAAGTATTTCCCAGACAGGAGTGTGAGGTGCACATGTGCCTGAGTGACTATATTTTAACTTCAAAATGACAAAAACCTTCCAATGTGTTGCATTTCTGCACAACAATTGTGCTTCATGATTATGACTTGTTTGCTTGTAGATAACATGTCCGCACTGTCTTGAGTGTAAGTTATGAGAGACAAGTGGACAGATGTTTAAGGAGAGAGTGCATCTGTTTGGTGGGGGAGTCAAATGAAAGGTTTTTGGGAATCAGCAGCTTCCTGTTGTTCTTTTAAATTTGTCCTGGTGTGTCTGGAGTGGTGCCTTATGAGAGCAGCAGCTGGTACTTTCTCAACTGCTAGATGATTGTTGCAATATGAGAATGTGGGTGTTTGGTCAAGCAGAGCAAATCAGGATATTGGCGTGGTTTTCATGTGTGAGCACTGTTAATTTGTGGCAGAATAACAGGAGCAAAAATGCTGTACAATGAGACACCATCACACCCTGCACCTATCCAAGTCTTTGCTGTCTGATGATAATCTGTATAACTATCTGTGAATCAGTGTTTTATCACTCCTCCCTCAGGATAAGGGTCTTTCATGTGTTGAGTGGTGTCTCACACGCAGCATTGCTCCCAGCCACAACAAGCCCCACCAATAAAATAGTTTAATTTAGCTCAAGGTTAGGGTGAAGGGCATGGTTTGGCCATCAGTCTAAGCGGAAGAGGCAGGATCTGTGCACAGCTGAGAGGAAGTGCTGACTGGGCTCAGGGCAAGGAAGTCCCCGTTACCTGAAATAATGACAGAAGGAAGGTGGAAGCTGTTTCGCATCAGACTGGAATGTAAGCTGCGTCTACCTCTATGACTGTATCCCGCTCAAGCGTTTTGTACCTGACCGCATGCTGCCACCTGTCTGCTGTCATGTGTAGACATCAGGCAGAGATCTTCAGACGTCTGCTCCACAAGTCAGGTTAGTCAGAGCAGTTTGTATCTGCAGAGCAGATGCGGAGTAAGGATGGACGGGGACTGAAGTCCTTAAAGGTTTCTCAAAAGTCCTAAATCTTTGAAGTTTTTAAAGGACCTTTAAATTTGTGTCACCTAGATCAGTGATTCCCAACTGATCGCAGCCATGAGGACCAGATTTCTCCTTAGTCACCTATTTTAGGTCCACACACTTCAGTGTATTCAGCATCATACTTGCATTTGGCCATATCCTTGAGTTAGTTTGTTGTCTCTGTCATGTAGTCATCCCTTAGTCACTCACTCTACAGCAGGAAACTGCACTTCAAAGTTAAAGCTCTGTGCCTGAAATTCACTTTACTTCAAAATAAAGTGTGTTCTTTTACAAACTTGACACCTTCACGACCCACTTTTGGACCAGGACCCACCAGTTGGGAACCAGTGCTTTAGACATCCCTCTTCGATCCTGAGGCGCTCCCAGGTCAGATGAGATATATAATCCCTCCAGCGTATTCTGGGTCTGCCCCGGGGCCTCCTACCAGTTAGACATGCGTGAAAAACCTCTAACGGGAGGCGCAAAGGAGGCATCCTGATCAGATGCCTGAACCACCTCAACTGACCCCTTTGATGCAAAGGAGCAGCGACTCTACTCCGAGCTCCCTTCGGATGTCGGAGCTCCTCACCCTATCTCTAAGGCTGAGCCCAGCCACCCCACGGAGGAAACTCATTTCGACTGCTTGTATCCATGATCTCTCATCTTCTCATCTTTCGGTCACTACCCAGAGCTTATGACCGTAGGTGAGGGTTGGGACGCAGATGGACCAGTAAATCGAAAGCTTCGCCTTCCAGCTCAGCTCCATCTTCACCACGACGGTCCTGTGCCACACCCGCATCATTGCTGATGCCACAACGAAAGTCTATCTCACACTCCATTTTCCCTTCACTTGTAAAGAAGAACTGAAGACACTTGAACTCCTTCGCTCTCTGTTAACCCAAAGGGAACAATCCACCGTTGTCTGGCAAAGAACTACGGCATGCATGCAGGATCAACAGGATGATGCTTTTTTCCCTGGCAACTGTCATACTTCTTCAAAATGATATACAGATTTTTAGGCATTTTATCATCTAAAATGGCTTGGAAAATAGTGCACACAGTGAATGGGAAAAACAAACTCACCAGGGGAGCTTGCCTCTGGACCCTGCTACGTTTGAGCTCCCAGTGTTTACAACATCTGGCTCCGCCCCTGCTACAAGGCACACATACTGCACGATCTGAAACTCCCACTGGACACAAGATTCAAGAAGAATCCTCACATCAGTGCAAATCTTCTAGTTGAACTCTAAGCATCCTCCCACAGCACTCATAACCTGTCTAAATGCAGAGGCATATCTACAGTTAATTCAGACTTACAAACAAGACCATTAAATAAAGCTGCGTTAAGTCATAGTGTTGGCAAGGAATCAAGATCAGATGGTGAACAGACATTCATATTGATCATTAATCCACCTGGATGTCTGTAACGGCGTGTTTAAACTCCAAGGAAAAATAAAAACATTCTTCTCATAGCCTGGATGGTTTGAGCTGATTGAAACAATACACAGCCTTTTTATTTAAACTTAATTTGAAACATTTGTGGGATTTATAGCTTCACTCCATAAATAAACTCAGTCTTTCAAACCACCAGACTTTTTGCTATAAAAATGGCTCAAATAGCATATTTTAAAATCTGTGTTAATAGCCTTGTAAATCACAATATTTCTAATAATTCTACTTGAATTTGTTGAATTATATATCATCTATTGGCACTGACACTTATTGTCATATGAGATTCTGTTAGTAAATTATATAATAATAATGAAAACATGAGGTTAACAATGACCATGTGTTTAATTATCCCCCTCCTCTACTGTGTTGCCTTATTTGCTGTAGCTAGAGTGACTAATCTACATTTGAAATCCCCATTTAAAGGACATTCAGCAACTTGTCACCCCTCAGCTGTAACTTCCACATCATCACTGAGACTGACATCAACCCCTCTCTGCACTGGACTTTTGCTTCAAGTCCATCTGGTTACTTAGCTGCCTCTGTTTGTTTGTTTTTATTTTCCTTAGTGACTCATCATCTGCTTCATTTCCTCCATCTCCTCTCTGGCCTCCGACCATGGGAAAAGCCTTGAGAGATCAATAGTGGAGCCTTTCTCCCACTCTCTTCCACTCTCTCTGTCTGCATCGGGCCAAGTCATTCCTGTGGGACGTCTGAAAAGATGGCTCACATGTGTTTGCTCACTTCCTGTGGAACACTGTATTTTCTCTATCCCATTATCACTGATGTTTCGAGCACAGCGGACGCATTATGATCCAAAGAGCTTAGTCATATTATCATAAACTCTTATTCAACAGTTTTTCCAGAGTGGAAATACCCACTCTGTAGTTTGTTGCATCAGAGGCACAGAGCTCAGAGCAGGAAGTCAGAGGACACAAGGTGTTTTCCATCTCCGACTCCTACATCATGTTGTATTTCCTCCCTGGGTCAGACTGTTAACACCTGCTTTACTAATACACAACACCGAGGAGACTCGCAGCACTGAAGGGGTTTGTTCTCCAGCCTCCCCTGATCATCTGGTGTGGTCCATATGATCTTTCAATCAATGGAAAGCCTGTAGGAGTGAATACATCTCAGGGACTCTCTGAAGAGGATCTGAACTTTGACCCCATGCCTCCCTCAGTATGGGCTGTTTTGAAATTGGAGTTGAGGCTCTTCACTTGTAGGGTTCATCTGCCAAAAAAAGAGAAAGGAAACCAGTAAAGAAGATGTCCTGTAATCAGATGTAACAGCACATTTTCAAAGGCAGTGCCGATGCCGGGTCCCCCCTCTGTAACTCTGCACCGGGATGGGGAGGAGAAGGGGTTGGGAGGAGGGAAGTAGCAGAGGAACTCAGTGAGTGAATGAAGAAAGCTGGGAGCAAGACGTAAATAATAATGTGGACACTGATCTATGGATTAACACACTTCACACAGACTCATGGATCTAGCTGCTGTCTGGACTCTGTAAGAGTAGAGAAATGGTAAGAGCTGCATGCCTGTCAGTGACGTTAAGTAAACTGTTAACTGTGTTTGCAGCACTGCTGTGTTTATAAATTGTTTTCTGCCTCGTCCTTTATAAGAACAACACTCTGTTTTATTTTATTCATCGTTTCAGATGTCAGATTTAATCTGTTTGTCAGTGTTCACTCTCAGCACAAATCATTTCTCTTTAAAAGTAGCAGCCCAGACTGCGTGGCTGCCGGCGGTGTCTATTTTCAGAAGCTCATGGCAACTCTGAAGGGCATAACTGCCCCCATAATCACAGGTTACAGTGGAAGGAGCTGCATTTGCAAGCACTAAAACTATTCTCCGGCCTGGGTGTGTACGTTAAATCACTGAGGCTTGTGGGTGCAGGAGCATATGTGTGCACATGTGTGTGTGTGTGTGTGTGAGTCAGACAGCAAGAGACACATAACCCTTCCCACTCTCCCGTCCTGTGTCTGTCACTGCGTGGCTCAAAGAGGGCCAGTGTTGACAGCCTGTGGGCTGACAGCAGAGGCGTGAGGGGTCCAGTGTCAGCGGCGAACAGAGGGGATGGTCTGTTCTCCGTGTCACTGGGTCCTCTGAGACTCACACACTGGACATGATTGTCAGATATGTGTGGTTTCACGCGGCGGCTTCGTCTGGAGTGACATCAGACGCAGATAGAACGCCCTGTTGTCTCAGCCAGAGCTAAACTTGGCTCACAGCAGCTGTGGATGGTTTTTGGCTACTTTTTTTTTTTTTTTTTTTAAAGAATTTGAATTGATAAGTGATGTCAGCACGGAGCGACAAAGAGCTCAAGCATTTCAGTTTGATGTAACAGTCATGTGTCGGTGTGGGAATGGGCTGATGTGGTCATTTCCTGACATACAGAGAGGCGGCAAATTAAAGGAAAAAGCAGAATAGATGAAAAACACAGGTGCAGAGTTATTTACTGGTTTGATGAGTATGAAAATGAGCTGAATCATATGTTGTTGCCTTCAAAGTCACTATGTGTCAACCCAGTTGAACAGATTTTAGACTGAGATACAGACAGCTGCCTTCATCATCGCCATCAAAGCACCAAAAGATGGAGTTCATCCCTCCAGTACAGAGTTTGAGAGACTGTTGTTTTGGATATTTTGTTAACTTTCCATCCATCTGTTTATCATATCTGAAGATTACCAGATCACTAAATAAAGAGATCTCCTTTGAAATTAACTACATGTCAAACATGACATACAGTGGTCCCTGGTAGACAAAACAGACACTAAAAAGTAGGAAGTTGTGTCTATTTCAGTTTGGCCTGGAATGCTGAGCTGATACTAAATTGTTGCCAGGACGAGCAGCCCATGTGGGTGATAGTGAAAGAAGTGGATACCAGCTTTTAGCAGAAAATATGGTGAGTCATCTGGGCTGCTTATGTGTCTGTGTGCGATTGTTTGAGGTCCATCTGGTCCTGTTTCTCTCTCCTCTGATGTGAGCAGCGATGAGCAGACAGCTGGATGTAATCTGCAGCATCTGTCTGCGAACATGGAGTGTGTGTGTGTGTGTTTGTGTGTGTTTGTATTTGGGAGACCTATGTATGAGTCACAAGTGAGTCATCGAGGACAGAGAATGCAGTGATCTGACCCCCCGTGTGCGAGGGACCTGCAGGGCTCATTTACGCCTTCTGCTACAGCTCCAAAGTACAACTGTGATGAAATGTGTAAAATCAGTGATCTCTCTTAGATTGAGGCGAAAATCAACGCGAGCTGTCTTGATGGATCGTTTTGTCTGGCTGGTTCTGGTGAAACAATTACCCACAGTATAATGGTTTGGTCACATGGGCTTATAAGTGGGGCAGGAGGTTTCTAAGGAAAGCACTGTTCCCATTGTAGTACAACTGTAGTAGCAGTATTCCCAGCGCACCCATTCATGCCCTGCTCTCTCTCTCTGTCTCTCTCTGTCCCTGTGTACGTGTGTGTTTGCTTCAGGATCTTCATGTGTCAGATAATTCTGACAGTCTAGCCGACATGGAGCGTGTGAGCCGGAGTAAAGTGGAACATGGGCGACAGACGCACCAGGTGTTACAGGTGAGTCAATTCTTACTTCAGGACCAGTGACCATTTACAGCTGATGCTACTGGGCTGCTAAATCATGACAAACTAACTTAATTGCTATTATATATCTGCTGTGAGGCAGCTTGTTACTCAATATAACAGAGAAGTGAGTGATTTGTGTAAAGATACAAGGATTTTTAAGTCAGATTTTGGCAATAAATCAGCTTCACATCAAATAAATGAACCTGCAAATCAGTGCTTGTGGTAAGAATCGGCATATCAACCTATTTTACATATGCTGTCTATTTAAAGTGTGTTTAACATCTTTTAAATGTAAAGACAGGGATATTTATTTGCGCTATCTCTGTGTTTCTCTTTATTTCTAACACATAACTTGGACTTTGAATCAAACACTTTTCAGTGTATCATCATCAGTCTCCCAGTTACAGTCAGAGTTATGGGTGATACATGGAGCTTATATAAGATGTAATGCTATATCTTATTCCAGTGGTTCCCAACTGGTGGGTCACGGTACAAAAGTGGGTCGCAGGTCCATTCTGAATGGACCGCAAGAGACTCGCAAGCGTGTCAAATTTGTAAAAAAAAAAAAAAAAAAAAACACACTTTATTTTGAAGTACAGTGAATTTCTGGCACAGAGCTTTTATTTTAAAGTGCCATTTCCTACTGTAGAGTGAATGACTAACGGACAGCTACTTATCAGAGTCAGCAAACTAGTTCGACGAGATGGCCAAATACAGGTATGATGTTGTATTAAACTGTGTGGACCTTGAACTAATGACTATGGAGAAATCTGGACCCCGTGGCTGGACCAGTTGGGAACCCCTGTCTTATTCTGTTATAAAAACAGAGAGACAGAGATTTCAAGACGAGGGCCTGCAGTGCAGTTTGAATCAATACTGGGGTTCTTATTTGAGCATTTCAGCATTTATTATTTGCTGTGTGGCTGTTCATACATGTAGTTTTCACTTTTAAGATTTGCTACCAAGCTGACGTCCATTTCACTGAGTGTTAAGACATCTAAAATCCATATGCTACTAATAAAGTAGTTTCAGGATCATGTACAATGCTGGGGAGTTAATTAAATTACAAATAAATGTAACTGTAATCAGCTACAGTTAACAGAGAGAAAAATGTGTAATTATATTACAGTCACTAATCAAAATGTTGGTAATTATAAAGTGGTTACATTCAAATATGTTGTTTTCAGTAAGAGGCTTAATGTAGAATATAATATTTATTATGTATCTTTTCACCATGCGGAGGAACCTTCTTTTGGCATTTTTCCATTGTGACAAATTATATTTTCATGACTTAGCTTTATTGCCTAGTTTACAACATTCTGTCACAAAAACAATCACATGTAATAAGCTTAATTACTTTCATGATGTAATTAAAATAGTGGCATTACTTATCACTAATTAATTAATTTGTTTCATTTCAAAAGTAACTTTCCCAACACTGATGATGTAATCATGCTCTTTCATTTGTTTTGTTTTGACAGAGCACACCTTTAGACCTGATTGAGACAGGCAAGTCCCTGAAAGTCCAGGCAGAGCGCCCCCACCTGGTTAGTTTGGGAAGTGGGCGTCTGAGCACCGCCATCACCTTGTTGCCACTGCTGGAAGGTGAATGACCTGTGACTTGTGTGTGTATGTGTGGTTTGGAGTGTATGTTAGTGTGTTGGTAGGATGGGTGGGTGTAAAATAGTGTGGTGTTCATAAAATGGAAAGTAGTCCTCATTTAAAATGATATATTTTCTCACTGAAGTCACGCACTACTTATTTCACAGATAGCTTAATGTCCTTGTTGAATGGAACATTTCAACCCCATTATCAGATTGTTAAATATACAGTCCTGCTTTATTATGCCACACCATTACCCTTTTATAGGAATACCTTACTCACAAAATGATCATTTGGAAATCAATTACTCACCCAGTGTTTCGCTGAATTCTTGAAGAATGCTTTCATTGTTCTCATATGCCTCTTCTGTAAATGAAGAATTGAAAAATGTAGAAAATTCTTGATGAGCTGGAGTAATGAAAGGGGACCATGTCACGACAGCAAAGCTATATCAAAACATCAATTTGCAAACATTCACAGCTCGTACGGTCAATACAAGTCTCATTTATCTAGCCATATGCTCAGTACTTCTCAAACACATGCATTTTTTACTAAAACCTTACTTTTTAAAACATTCCTACATAAACAGTCTCACGCATAGACAAGTAGTGCACCTAGGAAAAGCACGTGTTGAACTTTGCACGAGCAGACATCAGACTGAGCAGTGACCTCCAGGGCTGAAAAATAAATACTGCAGTTCCTTGAATGGACACTTAAGGCTGGCTCCAAGAGCGAGTCAATCCCTATAGACCTCCATGTTAAAATGCCCAACCTTAAAGCAGAAATGAACATGTTTACAGCCTGGTAAAAAAAAAACCTGTTTTGGGCTTTAAGTTCCCCGTTCATGCCAACTGTAGGGGGTGAATTTTTACATAATTTACCTGTTTATTGTTATCAAAGTTATGAAGTAATGGATAATTAAGGACGTGGCTGCTTTGAGTGACAGGTGGATACCATCTGTAAGTTGCTACCACAGCGACGCTGTTGGTTAGGTAACATAACCATGGTGTGACCATATTTTCATAGAGCCCGCCTATAGGTGTAGCTGTAGCTATTTCATTGTATTTTCAGTTCATAGAAGTAAACTGTAACCTTTTGATCCACTAACACTATTGTGGCTTCCAAATAAATTCAAAAATAATAATAGGAGATATGATAAACTTGCTTCTTTGGTTTAATTTTACTCACTGATGATCCACAAACAAACAATCCCCTAATAAATAGGCCTTTGCAAGTTCAAATCAATGGGACATTAAACAACTTCATCAAACAATAAAACCAAGATTAACCATATATGCAGCGGTTAAAGACTGGAACCCCATGGCGTCTTCCATGCTCCACACTTACTTTAGCACACCTGCCTTTAATCAAAGGTTCCCAAGATGCCAATTCCGGTGGTGCATGAAAGTGACTCAAAAGATAATAGGTGAGTAGGACTTAGTAGAAATGGCTCTAACAAACATGGTTAACATTTGGTTGTACTAGAAGACCCTCTAAAGAGTAAGGTATTCAGTTTTTCTGGCAAGTACATTTTGTTTTAATGCTTTTAAGCCTGTTTTTCTTTTTTTTTTGCAAGTGAAAAATTAGCACAGTGTTATCACAGTTAACCATAGCTGTAAACGCACCATGTTTACCAAGCTAGCTGCTAGCATTAGGGTTATTTCCACCACATGTCTAACTCAAGGCCTCAAAACGAGTCCACAAACCAATCAGTGACGTCACGGTGGCTACGTCAATTATTTTATAGTCTAGGATTCAAATGCAGATGATTGGCCCAGGTGTGCTACTTGTACATGGAAGAAATTCGACATGTTTAACCTACATGGTAAACTACAGTTTATATCTCTGTACTGACTCAGGATCTGTTAGTCTATATAAACACTTACATAAGTACATTATTCAAAATGTGTCAGTTGTTCTTAAATAAATAAGCAGCACAACTTGTCATGAGTGATGAACTGACAAAAACTGATGACACCTTACCTTCTAACCATCCTGTTGTTACTCATGCTGCACCACAGCTGCAATTACACCCTTGTCTGAGATTTTTCTTGCACCATTTGTCTTGCACTGAGCCTAGAAACCACAGAGGAAGAGAAGGGTGTGACAGTAGCGCCCCAGAGAAAAGTCTTCTGGGATGTTCTTTGTGCTTCATCTCATCTGTAGTATCACTGAATAAATAGTGTTAAAGTGAAACCTCTTGCACTCAGACAGCAATATAAGTGCAAATGATAATTAAATTACAGCACAGGGAATAGTAGGTGGTTGTATTAAGATGCCTTTTATCTGCCAGGCTGAGCACATCTCCAGGGACTAACACCTGTTTTTCAACAGTCAATCACGTGCTGATTCCATTTGTGACTCGACCCATTTGGCCTTGACCCCTTTGATGACACCCGTACTTTGAAGTGCAACCCAAGAATACTTCACAGAAGTATTCACAGGTCCGCATGGATGTCCTGTAAGTGACGCTGAGAAAATGTTTTCTCTTGTTGCAGGGAGAACCACGCTGGGCAGTGGGGTGACAGATATCCCTCTGCAGGGCAATGGCATCGCAGCTCAGCACTGCTACATTGAAAACCAAGCAGGCAGCATCACCTTGTACCCATGTGGAAACCAGTGCTCTGTAGATGGCCTGGCCATCACCAAGCCCCATCGTCTGACACAAGGTAACACTGTCACAGTCTTAAGTGACTGTTGTATTATGATTGTTGGTGTTAAAGCTGCTTTTTTCCTGCATCTTATATCAATTAAATTATATAAATTTATGTATGTGTGCTACAATATTTGCCTTAAAAGACACACAAAAAATGTAATTATTTAACTGATTACTGGTAGCTGAGTAGGAGTAGCATTACAAACTGTGCCAGATATTAAGTGGAAGTTTTTATTTGTGAGCGAGCAGTGGGATAGCAATGCTTGTGTGTCAGTCGGTCAGTCCACCACTTTGGTCCAGACGGAAACACGAATCACATCTATGTTCCTCGGATGACTTTGGTGATGACCAGACTTTTTCTCTTGTGCCACCACAAGGTTGACATTTGTAAGTTTAAAGTGGATATAGAGAAGTTTTTTGCTCTCCGTTATTCATGATGATGTAAATGATTGCACAGTGTACTGGCTACAGATTAATGACACCATCTGCGTTTAGATTGGTTTCCCATCAGCCTCGCTTTCACCACGCAATTCTGTCTGCCACTGGGTACGATCTCTTGGGAAACTGAAGGCTCGATCTACAGCTCCGATTGGCATTGAAATTTTAGCCCCCTTACTAACTTGATGCAGTGATGTGCCACCATAAAATACCGCCTGTCTCTGCCCAAACAGCGCTCAAACATCGTTCCAAATTAATCGGCACAGAGTTTGAAGAGTTTGACTGAATGAGTAAGAGATATATATAAAGAAGTACCCACCATAACATATTTTACTAGACTCCATGCTGCTTTCTACTGTTTATTAACCCATTTTCTGGCCTGTCTGTGATGTCAAATGTGACACACCAGTAAGAGAGAGCTTTGTACACAGTCCTAGTGTACTGGTAATGGGAGAGGGGTCTGTGCCCCACTTTTAGCAGGTTCTCCCTGCTTTAGAAATCCACATACAAACACTAATTTTGGTGAAGAGGGCTATTAGTTTCCACTTTAAGTGAAATGTCTCAACGACTACTGAATGGATTGTCTGAAAATTTGGTGTTTCAAAGACTATTTTTAGTTCTTTGGTTTATGACTCAATAGCTTAAAAAACCAATGACATTCCCGTCAGACTCAGCTGTACTTTGTGTTAAGTGCTGATTAGCAAATGTCTGCATGCTAACATGCTAAACTAAGATGCCGATAATGGTGACCATTCCACCTGCTTGGGTTCAGCATGTTAGTACTGTCATTGTGTGCTTGTTAGCAAGTACTGGCTATAGCCCTTTGGTCTTGTCTAACTCTCTTTTATCTGTAAAATCACTCTCATGTACAGTCAGATGACTTATTAAAATGGTAAATGCATTGCACTATTACATACTCACACATAAACTAAGTCCCGCTGAGTATTTAATACACTGAAAGCAAGGTAGACAATAACGCTGTCCAGCTTCCTGACAACAAAACAGTCCCATGCCCTTCCAGTAATATGCATACTTGCCATAAAAAAGGCATAACAGTCCCGCCCCCCTCAGTCCCCTTTCCATGGGATCCAAGCCAGCAGCTACACTAGAATGTCATTTGAAGCCGAGTGATCAGCTGGTGTGTGTGGACGCAGCAGCTGCTGAACAAGAATACTTCAGGCTTCATTCAAAGGGCACGTTATGAAATTCTGAGTAAAACAACCTGGGAATGAAGGAAACTGCTTTACTTGTATCATAAGGAACAATGATGCTGCTAAATGGAACTTCGGCTTCCCTTTGAAGGATGATATAAATATTAAACTCTCTGTGGAATATCCAGAACTGGAGACAAAACTTCAGCGTGTGACTCTCTGGGATTATATCAGACATTCTTCAAAGCTACCAGTAATGCAGGGAAAGGAGAGGGAGCTGATTTCACTTACTGGTTAATTACACGTGAGTTAAACTGAGTCAGAGACACTGTCAACACTCCCTATATGTGACCAAACTTTCCAAGTGACGACAGGACAAATGAACAACAATAGCCTTTGTTTAGCTCTTTGCAATGTCTGTGTCACACACTTGCTTTCACTCATTTCCTTGGTTTACCACATGTTGAACTGAGATGTGGTTTGTGTTAAAATAAATCTCACAGAACAATCACTCCATACACTCACACCTCCTACGGTATTAATTAACTAATGTTGTTAAGCAGGGCAACAATAAGGAATTGTTTGCATACACACAGCACATGTACTATGAACTGTAAAAGCTACAGTGAGATTCTGTGTCACATTCAAACCATAATGAGTTTAATGGCTAAAGTTACTGATTGGTAGTAAAAGCAATAACACTGTATCACAAATAATTTATGGTTTAGTCAGTCAGTAAAATGTCTGTAACAGTGCAGTTAATTATGGTGTTATTACTTTACCTCTGAAGATATTAACTAACATCACTGATAACTCCTTACCCACATGGTCTTGTCTCTTGGCAGGGTGCATGCTGTGTTTCGGTCAGTCGGTCTTTTTCCGCTTCAACCATCCAGAGGAGGCCCTGCGGATGAAGAGCATGCTGCCCGGAGGAAGCCAAGGACGGAGCACTACAAGAACTCAACCTACTGGTAAAGACCCTGCTCTAGAAATTATACAACAGTGACGAACTCCTAGAATCCAGTTGCTGTTAAGAACACACAGCAGTGCATGCAGTTAGTAGGGCTGGGCAGTACACAGATAATACACTGATATTGTGATACAAGGTTTTGGATATCGTAAGAGTTTTCTGTTCCTGGTTTTAAAGGTTGCATTACAGCAATTATCTGAATTCATCAGACTGCCATGGCTCTTCTATAACTTGCCTTTACCTGCTTAGTCATTATATCCACCTTACTAATGACTAATTATCAGTAATCTCATGAAAGCACCTATAGCCAACGCTACAGTATCATCATGATATAATTTTGAGACATATGGTCAAGAATATCATGATGTTTGATTTTCTCCCTGTCGCCCAGCCATAGCATTTAGTAATGACCACTAATCAGGGACCCAGACTTAAGCCGGTATACATAAAGGTTGCATAGAATCCTCAGTAGCTATTCTAGGCACGGCAAATGCTTTGGGCTGATAGATATTTAGTCACAGTTGGGTTCCTACTACCTTAGTGTACAAATCAAGACCTTGCGTAACTTCCCGTTAATGCTGAGCAAGGATGGTACATCTGTTGTGGTGAGTTACGACTTTGGCCTCTGGGTAGGATAACATATGTGATTAAGCTGTACATGATTAGCTGTTTAGATGATCCATGTTTTAGTCCGAACAAATGCTGACTGAGATGAGAGTAATGACGATAAAAGATAGCTGTAAACACTTCATCGGTCAAACGAATATTAAATTTTTCATGTCAGAAGTTCAGAAAAAGTTGAAGTCAAAAGTCAAATTTAACACCAAGTTTACCAGCTCTTGATTTTCACTATCTCCATGAGCACAAGTGTGACTGAAACATTGGTCATTATCCTTGACAGGATGCAGAAATAGCTTGTTCAGGGCTAATTATCTGTGGCCTACATTGTGATCTAGTTCATTTAAATCTGTGGTTTTCGCTCAAGGTGTGACCCCATTGTGACAAAGGATTGTTGTAACCTTTCTTTTTACAGTTACAGTCAGAGGATGTCATACTATTCTGGCCCGTTAATTGCTTTGACTCGTGCCGTCGATGATATCTAGAACCCATTCTCCTCTGACCTTACTAGTTTGGCTGTACAGTAAGAGCCACCACACCCTGCCCAGTGTGCATGGCCCACTCTTTCCTGACCAGGCCCTGATTTCATCTGCTCTGAATGAGGTAAACGGCTGCAGCTTTTATATTTAGCAGCTCCAGATCCCTGTAGGATTACGACACAACTGAGGAGCACAATATCCCAACTGCTGAGTTTGGTTCCCACTGGAGAACACGGGCTCTGAGACATTCATTTGTTCAGGCATGTGTATTTTTCCTTTTATGGGTTACCCCCTTTGTCCTAAAGTCCTGACCTGAGGTGTGGTGGATGTCGTGAGGATGACACAGGGCAGATCCCTCCCACTGTGTTTGTTTACGTGTGTTTTTGCAACTGTCTTTTCGAGTGTCGTCTTTCTTTATTCAACAGGAATGCTCATGCACAAATGTTTCTGTCTTCCCTCGCAGACTCCCACAGTGTCCTGAATGGAAACCATCAGTCTCTTTCAAGCAATGGTGACTCCAAAGTCAACAACATAGCAAAGAACCTCCAGGACTCTTTGGTGCTGAAGGCTGGAGCTGGTAAACAGCCTGTTCCTCAGCCCTCTCATCCAAACATGCTCAATGGGAGAAACGGCTCCACGACCGAGGATTCCATTTGTGAAAACAGCAGCAGCTTTCTGAACCAGAACCTCGGCAGTAAAACCCCTCCAGTACCAGCCCGATCCCCTCATACCAACCAATCTCCTGTCCCCCATCCACGGACCTCACTCTCTGTGGCCTCAAGCGGTACAAGTGGTGGTCGGAGGGCCCAGGAGAGCCCAAAGCTTCTTAGAAACACAAGAGCAGAGGCCACATCAAGCCCCACACCATCTAGTAAGGGGTCAGGACAGGGCGCAGAAAACTCTAACCCAAGTCGCAAAACATCCCCTGTCAAATTTTCCCCAACAGCTCCATCCAGCCCTCGAGTGAGAGGCTCCTCCCTACAGAAGAGATCACCCAGTCCGATGCGAGATACACGCATCTCTAATGTAGAGGTCCCTCAAAGGCTCAGGACTCCAGAGCTGACTGGTTCTACCAGCCTGAGAGAACTTCCTCCCCTCAGTCCTTACATGTCCCGCAGAGGGACTCCAGGATCGCAGGGCTCGGCTTCCTCCCTCGCCTCACAGGGCTTCACAGTAAAACCCCTCCCAGAGGGCCCCCAGGGACACCTCAAACACACAACTACTTCAAAGGCAGAAGCCATGAGGGCACTGTATGCCCAGGGTCCACCACCACTCTCTGGTCTGGAGAAGGAGCCTGGAGGGAGGCAGATAAGGACTGGCCCAGGTGGTGCCATCATGTCAGGCCTGGGTTCTCTGTCTGGCTCCTCTCCTCTTGCTAGCCCTCATAGCCAAAGAAAAACCTCCTGCATGACCACAGCAGGATCCTCCAGCAAGGAACAGAGTTTCATGAAACCGTATACCCGTGAACGCAAGAACAGTATCTCTGAGATCAGTGACAATGAGGACGAGTTGCTGGAATATCACCGCTGGCAGAGAGAGGAGAGGCTGCGTGAGCAGGAGATGGAGAAACTGGTGAGTGATCAGCTCTTTAGATATGACTTCACAGTGGATATAACAGTAGAAAATAACCTAACCATTTGACTCTAAATCTGGAGTCTGGTGTGAACGTCACTCAGGAAGTCATAAAGAAAACATTTTCGGCTCTGGTTTGTCCTCTGTGACTGGTTGTTTATTCTATATCCTGTTTATGGGCAGAATTTGTACATACTTTAAATCTGCAGTTATAAAATCAAATCAAAACAAGCTGACAGGTGCAAAGCCACAGCTGTGTCCCAACGTACAAACTGTTAGCAAACAACATCTTTTTAAACATTTTTAATCAAACATCCAGCAGACAGAGAGCAAACACCATGATTTTAAAGGATATTATGACAGTGAAGTGAAGGTGGCGAGCCTGCTGGCATGGCAGACACTGTGTCTGCATTCAGATATCTTGTCTAAATCTCCTGGCCTACCGCCACCAGCTCATCTCCCCAGAGCATTACTGGCGTCGTCAGCCCATGTGGCCCGAGTAACACGGGGTGAACATTCCTCCACATGTCTTGAGGTCCAGAGCGCAGGGCGCGGCTGGTTATTGCTCAACACTATATTTATCAAAAGGACGAGTGGCTTTTACTTTCAAAGCTGCCCCTGCTTGACTGAAGGCTCTTTCTTATTCGCACCGACACTAGAACATAGACTGCATACTTGCTATCCATCCTCAGTGCATACCCACCAGTTCCCCCCACCACCCCCATTCTTCAGCCCCCAGCCCAGCCTGCGTCTGACAGCTGAAGGGACCATAGGGAGGAGAAGGGGCGGGGGTTCCCGGCCCTCCATGTCCACAGACTATTTCAGGAACCAAAAGGTTTCTGGTAACAAATAAGAGTTACTGACAACATGCGTCTGAGTTGGACAGACAGGGGTTTGACTGCGGTGGATACAGTATGTGCATGTTTGTGTCAAGTCATCCAGGATGTGCCATAACATCATATAAAAAGATGAACTTATATTTCTTGGCCCAGTAGTGTGTGATACCTGTGATCCATATTTGGAATATTACGCTGCCTTCATGTGGTGGAAGGAAAGATAGGCAGCATCGCATGTACATGCACATACTATTTTGTCAAACCACCACCCTGTAGATCAAGCCTGCCTAACCTACACAAATACATTACGTAACTGTAAGATGAAATTATAGATTTGCTCAGTGTTGGCCCGCTCTCATTCTGAATTTGTCAAATACCGCCACTTTGTCAGTGATCTGGACGTTAGCTCCCAACGCACAAAGGCACCTTTCAAGGCAGTATAATACACACCAGGTGACAGCAATTATTGACACAGTAGCCACCAACCAAAGTCATCAAATCCCGATGCTGTGTCAGTGGACGTCCATGTAACATACCAACACACAAAGGCATTTTTTATGTTATGAAACAGACCAGTGAGCGGCAGTTTGTAACGTAGCTGGTAACAATGTAACATTCGGTTTAGGTATGTAATGCAAGAATAGAATCCACTAGATGTCACTGTGTCTTTAAATACTGGGCCTTTTGAGTTTGCCTCCAACAGGAAGTTAGGCACCCCTTACTAGTACCAGGTTGGACCCCTTTTGCCTTCAGAACTGCTTTAATTCTTGGTGGTATAGATTCAACAAGGTGCTGGAAACATTCCTCAGAGATTTTGGTCCATATTGACATGATAGCATCACACAGTTGCTGCAGATTTTGTGACATGGTGCGTTATCCTGCTGCCCTCAGAAGATGGGTACACTGTGGTCATAAAGGGATGGACACGGTCAGCAACAATACTCAGGTAGGCTGTGGTGTTTAAACCATGCTCAGTTGGTACTAAGGGGCCCAAAGTGTGCCAAGAAAATATCCCCCACACCATTACACCACCACCACCACCAGCCTGAACCGTTGATACAAGGCAGGATGGATCCATGCTTTCATGTTGTTTACACCAAATTCTGACCCTACCATCTGAATGTCACAGACTCATCAGACCAGGCAACGTTTTTTCAATCTTCTATTGTCCAGTTTTGGTGAGCCTGTGTGAACCGTAGCCTCAGTTTCCTGTTGTTAGCTGACAGGAGTGGCACCTGGTGTGGTCTACTGCTGCTGTAGCCCATCTGCTTCAAGGTTGGACGTGTTGCTGGTTCAGAGATGGTCTACTGAAGAACTTGGTTGTAACAAGTGGTTATTTGAGTTACTGTTGCCTTTCTATCATCTTGAACCAGTCTGGCCATTCTCCTCTGACCTCTGGCATCAACACTGGATATTTTCTCTTGTTCAGACCATCCTCTGTAAACCCTAGAGATGGTTGTGGTGACATTCCCAGTAGATCAGCAGTTTCTGAAATATTCAGACCAGCCCATCTGGCACCAACAACCATGCCACATTCAAAGTCACTTCAATCACATTTCTTCCACATTCTGATGCTCGATTTGAACTTCAACAGGTCGTCTTGACCACGTCTACATGCCTTTTGTTGGTATCAAAGCCTTGAAAGAAGCAAACAAAAAAAATCAGCTGTAGACCTACAGATGAGCAACACAAAGAGAGGATTTCCTCTCAGTGAAATCAATGCCCTGCATTTGGCACACTGCTCTCTTAGCACAGTTGGCACAGCTATGCAGGATTTTTTTTTTTTTAATCTCACTTTACTGAACCCGACCTACATACACGGGTGCTGCTGCTCTTTAAAAATCCTGTGCTGCACTTTACCTCTCAGCAAAAGTAAAGGGCAGAGGAAGAGAGGGAGAGATGTGACTGAAAAGTTAATTTTAGCATCATTTTCACTGGGCAGAGGCCAAACTGCTGGTGTGTAACAGAATTATTTCTATTTTTTGAAGGGATTCTGGTTAATAGAGAGGATTTCTATGGTGATAAATTGAGCAAGAATATTTTAATGGCCATAAAACTGCAACATTTCAGTGATTACAGAGGTTTTTTTTAGTGTTACCATATTTTGTACCTCCTGATGGCCTGTACTTTTAAGAGAAATATGCTTACTCACTTTCTTGCAGAGTTAAATGAGAGTTGATACCACCCTTACATCTGCCTGTTATAAAATCTGCCTCATATAATGCACCATAACATGATCTAACGTTAATTAATGAGGTTAAGAGGTGCTGGTAGGCTGTTTTTCTTAACTGACAGAGCCAGGCTAGCTGTTTCCCCCTGCTTCCAGTCTTTGTGCTAAGCTAAGCTAAGCTAAGCTAAGCTAAGCTAACCACTCTCTGGCTGTAGCTGTAAATCTAACAGACAGCTATGAGAATCAGATCTTCTCATCTAACTCTTGGTAAGGAAGCCAATTAACATATTTCATTAAAGTCTGTCAAACCAAAATATCTGGCTCATGATAGCTTTATATTTCTATCACTATGTCCATATTTTATCCATAAACCTGCCAGTTTATCTGAAGTCTGAAGAAGGAATGAACTATGCAAATAGCAAACAACTGTCCAAGGTGTAAATCTTGCAGTTAGAGTCAATGCTCATGACAGATCTGATGTGGTTATTTTAACAGCCTGAATCATTTAAATACCAGACGAAAAAGGGCTGGCAGTTGTGGAAATAATAAAACAATACTGCATCAAGAAGCACACCAGACACAGTTGTTTCCAGTCTCGCCACATTCCCAATTATTGTTTCACATTCTGCGCTGTTATTTTGGTGAGATTAAAAAAAGCGTCCTATTGTTTGGAGTGACGAGAGACAACAGACTGGCCCCGAGCTTGAACCATGTGGCATAGGAAACAAAAACAAAACACAATGAAGAACACATTAAAGAATCTAAAAAAGAGCAACAATTAAAACATCTCTGATCAGAAAAAACAAAATGACAACTGGTGTGGTGTAATCTCAGCAACCAAAGCCCTCCATTGACTTCCATTTATTCTTCTTACAGTCATCACAGTCCCGTCAGATTCTGTTCCCATAAACAACTCTGGCTCTGACATGTTTTACTATGAGCCCCCTCCCTGGGAAACAAACTACATCAGCTTCGGACCCCCCTGCTATCAGGTTACAGTTGTCCCGTGCCAGTGGCTGAGGGACAGCTGCCTAAATGGGACAATGTCACACAAGGACACTTGCAGCTAATCTGTGATACGATCTATAATGTAGGACAGGCGAGCTTACGTCTCACATCTCTTCTTCAGGAGCGGCAGAGGCTGGAGACCATCCTCAATCTGTGCGCAGACTATAATCACGAGGACAGTGCTGCGGAGCTGGCCGAGGTGGTGAGGAGTGGACTGCTGGGGGGCGCTAGAGGAGCCTGCTCGGACACAGCAGGGGGGATGTCTCTTCAGGGAGTAGACAAAGCCCAGAGGGTGAGAGAGAACGATGAGGAAACCCAGAGAGAAGAGTCTAGCAGCACAGAGAGCACACATCAAGAGGTGATACACACATTGATGCAAGTATGGAGATAAAGAAGTGTTTGTTATTTATGTTTTAGTCTGATTAAGAATCTAATTTTATCTAATGTTCCCTTAGTGTGAGGAGCTGTTAGCCAGTCAGGAGCAGGCCTACCTGGAGGAAGAGAGAAGCCGGATCTTGGCCAGGGTCGACGACTTGAAACACAGAGTCAGTGAACTGGAGCTGCAGCTACAAGAGACCAAACAGGAGGTCAACACACACACACACACACACACACACACACACACACACACACACAGACAGATATTTAAGCTCGTACACTTTTAGATCATCTCACCCTTATAGTGAGAGGAATGACAGCTGTTTCACCTTGAAGTATTTATTTAGCTCAACGTGGTTCACAGACTCTGACTCCATATTTGTCTTTAGGTGGAGATGGAGCAGGCCCTGCTGCAGGCCGAGAGGCGGGCAGAGCAGGAGCAGGCGGACGCTGAAAATGAAATCATCTCTCAGCTGCAGCTCAAACTCAGCCAGCTGGACAAGGCCACCCAGAAAGACAAGGACAAGGTGGGCATGCGGGACAAAACAATGCGATACAGTAAATACCGTTGGTTTGGCCGTTGGTCAGTTTGCACGTGAATGTTGTTGGACATCTGACTGTGTAAAAACTCACTCTTTTCCGAATGTGCAAACAGTCTATACACCAGATCTCAACTGACACGCACTGCTTATTTATTAGATGTCTGTCCTAAAACACAAAGCACAAACTGTCCTCTCTCTGAAGTGTCCAACAGTTCTTGTGTCAACGACAGCTGAAATCTTACATGCGGTAGACTGTTAGCTGGATGTGAACAACACTTTATTATATATTCTTATTTTTCTCCCATTTTAACAAATGTATGTAGCATTGCAACCCCTAACACACCTGCCAACCTAACCTCTGCTTCTGTCCTCTAATACTTTAACTGCTTGGCCTGTGAGCTTTGAAGCTTAGATGCATGGATTTAAGTTGTGATTTTTTTTATTTTTGTTTCTCCCTGGGTTGCTGTGTGTGTGTGTGTGTGTGTGTATGTGAATGCGGTCCCAATCGTGCGTATGTGTGTGTTTCTATGTGTTTTTAGGGGAGGGCTAATGTGTCGGCTGAGCGGAAGGTCCTGGAAAAGCAGAGGAATGAGTACAATGAGCTGAAGAGGCAGTTTGATAAGTGCCCCTTGTCTCTAAGGGAACAGTTACAGGAGCAGCTCAGCAGGGTCAGTGTTCTCACGCAGCCCACTGGCTGGCAACAGTGAGTTATAATATACCGAATACCACAGTTCTGTACGATCCGCACAGAAACGGCCGCAGACATAACACTGACTCTGTTTTGAAGCACTCAGAGCTACTCGTAAATCTGCAGACTGTGCGTTTCCTCCTTTCCTGCTTCATTATCTAAACACATAAGGTCATAAGAGTAACTATACAACAAGCAATGCTTTTGCTACTACAGCAGCAACTTTAGAGCGCTTATTAATCTCTGCTGTCCCCTCATTCTGGATGCTTGAGATATCAAATGCAGTTAGTAATGATTAATAATGTCATTAACAGCTTTGCTCTAAAAGTCTGCATGCCTTTGACCATGAATGATTCCAGTCACAAACGCACATTTCATCCTCACATGATGTCAGACTTTATGGTATCAAATTTCGGCTGCTTCATTATGTGGATATCACAGGATGCGGCTGGTGTTCTTGTATATTTTGTTATTGTGAAGGAATCCTGTGAAAACACCAAAACCAACCCCTCTCAATACTGTCCGACCTCCGGAGATTTTCTTTAGCACTCAGTGAAGACGAAAATCCTCACTATCAGGTCACAAATTTATTCATTCATTCTTTCCATCATTCATTTTCTTTAGGCGCTTATCCTGTTTGGGGTCACAGGGGGCTGGAGCCTATCCCAGCTGACACTGGGCGAGAGGCGGGGTGCACCCTGGACTTGTCACCAGACTATCACAGGGCTGACACATAGAGACAGACAACCATTCACACTCACATTCACACCTACGGGCAATTTTGAGTCACCATTTAACCTGCATATCTTTGGACTGTGGGAGGAAGCCGGAGTACCCAGAGAAGGGTCCCCCACCCTGGGTTCAAACAAGGAGCCTTCTTGCTGTGCAGCGACAATGCTAACCACTGCACCACCATGCCACCCAGGTCACAAATGTGGGGTCATTTCTTTAAAAAAGGCTGCAGGGTTTCATGAAACAGCTGAGTACTGTTGTTTTTAGCTACCATTATTCAAACAGGAGTAAACACTGCTTTTGTTGGGGACTATTTTAAACCTGGGATGAATACGTGCTTGCGAGTATTTCCAGCAGCAGCGCCTGTGTCCATCACAAGGAAGGGAAATGTCAGATGTATCAGGCTTTAGTACAGTGGTTAGCACTGTCACCTCACAGCAAGAGGGTTTCAGGTTTGAACCTGCTGGTGTGAACCCTTCTGTGAGGAGTTGTCATCCTCTTCCTGAGTTACTGTGAGTTTTATGCACATTCTTTGGCTTCCTCCCACATCCTTAAGACATGTAGGTTAAGTAACTGGTGACTCTAGATTGCTGGAAGGTGTGAATGTGAGTGTTGGTGGTTTTCTGTCTCCGTGTGTCAGCCCTGTGAAAGTCTGGTGATCCATCTCCTTAGGAGGATAACAGTTATTGGTCACAGATAGGTGGAGGGAAACACAACACTAGTTAATCAATCAGTAATTGGTGGTTTGGGTCTTTTCATCTGACTTTGTTTACAATAATCATAATATAGAATATTCCCAGCCTGAATAACTGTAACTCTTTGATTGATTTCAAACAGTGTGACTAACCTGCGTGCATATCTGTATGTGGGCAGAAAGCTGAAGCTCTGGAGTCCGGGACCAAGCAGTTTGAGGAGCTAGAGTTCTGCCAGCTGGAGGAGGAGAGCAGTCTGGAGGAGAAGAAAGAGACTCAGAGCTCGCAGCTTCTCCAAGAGCGGGCTGAGTATCACTGCAGCTTGGCCAAGAGGAAGGTGGGGGATACATGTGTGACAGAAAACGTATATCTGTGTAAAACATGATCACCAAGATGAGGTTATACGTCAGGGTGACTTTAAGAAACTGGGTGGTTTGCAGGAGAAGATAGCTGCCATGGAAGCTCAGGTGAAGCAGCTGGGGTTACAGGCGACTCAAGACTGTGAGAGGATAGCGAGAGAGAGGACAGTGACTCTGCAGCTGCTACACAAGGTAATATACCTAACCTATACAGTAGGCCATGTATTTAATCAATAACAGGGGTGTGTGGTAAGCTGTGAAAGCACATCTCTTTTGCCTTTTAGGAGCAAGACAAGTTGTGCACCATGGAGAAGAGGTACCACACCCTGACAGGAGGGAAAAACTTCCCAAAGCCCAACAACAGCATGAAAGAGGTGAGCAGGAGCATGCGAGACATGATATCACACCCGTCTGGAGGAGATATCTTGCAAAGTGGATTTCTTTTCAACTTAGCTGAACTTTTTAAACAGGAATGTCTTCACATCAGCGAACCTGACCTTGTTTATGTGGACGGTCCTCCTCATAGCCCCTGTCCCTCCTCTGCCTCCCTCTCCTCCTCTCACATCCCCTCCCCTGAACTCTATCCTGTTAGGCTGCAAGAGGTAAATCTCAAAATCCTCTTTGTAACGAAATCTAACAAATGGCTAATAAACGCCTGTGCTGCAGTGTCTACGATTTAAAAAATGGGCATGATCGTGTGTTAGCAAATACTGACAAACAACAGCAAGCTTGCAGTGTATGTTAGTAGGTCAAGGTTATGCCTTTCTCTTTGTGTTTGTTTGAGGTTAGTACATTCTCAAATTGAAGCACTGATGACGCAAAAAAAGAGAAAACCCTTGGAAGATGGCCTTTAAGACGATTAAACTGTCGCGTGATTTAATTTCAAAGATAGAGACTGAGTTGTGGTGCCGACGTGTTTGCTTTGTGCATCTTTGCATGACTTTTCTAAGTGTTGACTGTTGCCGTCTGCCGCCTTCTTATCCCTGTGTTCTGGCTGTCGCTGCAGGAGTACCTCAGGCTCTCTGATGTCTATAAGATGTATGGAAACGCCTCTGTACAAACCCACTCTACTTCCCCCGCTGCTCTTCACTGCCTCTCCCTCACTGTAGCTCCATCTCTGCCATGCGAGGTAGACACCCTGCCTGCCTTCTGCAGTATTCTCTGATACGTTTCTCTGACTTGTCAGTGTACTAAATACTGAACCCACCTCTGCACATTGACAGTATCTCAAAATATCCTTCATTCTTTTCCACTTTCTTCTCTCGTCCTGTTCTGTAAATGTGTGTGTGTTGTTTTTCTGTGTGACTGCACTGACTGGCTGTCTGTGTGAAGGAGTACATCACAGTCAGTCAGTTAAGCCAGATCTTTGGGATGCAGAGAGTCGATACCTCCACTTCTTCTTCCTCTACTCCATCATTCCAACTCGCCTCCTCTGAATCCACCTTCTCATGCCGCTCAGCTGCATATGGTCCTTCCTCCTTTCTGTCTGCACAGGTTTGTTATTCTCTCCTAACTGGTGGGGTCCTGTTTTTAAAAATGACGACACCATTTAGTTTTTCCAGTGTTGCAGCCATTCCCTGAACGGTTCCTACTGCTGCAAGGACTGTTTCATGTTTATCTTCCCTGCCTGCCTGATGCCTCTGTTACTGATGCTGGTGCTGCACTGCTCCCCTCTCCTCTCTCTTTCTCCCTTTGGCTGCATGTTTTTCATCAACTCAGAGCCAGCCCGAGCTGAGCAGGAATGCAATGCCTCCTCTTAACCTCGAGCGCTGGTACCAGGACATCATGGCTGCTGGAGACCATCAGTCATGTCCTCCACCGCTGCCTGCAAAGTCTTTTTCCACACGCAGACACAGTCAGGTAAATTCTACAGGGGCACCAACAGCAGGCCAGATGCACAGTGCTGTCTCGAACCCCTGAATGTGACGTTCACATGAGCTACTTAACTATCCCTACTTCTATGACTAGGAGGCCCTCTAGTGGACACAACAAGACAGAGTAGTTTTTCTGTAGTTGAAGGAACAGTGAGAGATGCTGATATTAGTCCAGTGATTCCCAACTGATCCAGCCACAGGGTCCAGATTTCTCTTTAGTCATGTGTTCAAGGTCCACACAGCTCAATGTATTCAGCATCATACTTGCATTTGGCCATATCATCGAGCTAGTTTGCCGTCTTTGTCAAGTAGCTGTCTGTCAGTCACTCACTCTAAAGCGGGGAAAGTCAAAACTTGCTGCCGGAAATTCACTGTTTTTTTTTTTTTTACAAACTTGACATGTTCGCGAGTCACTTATGGTCTATTTAAAATGGCCCTGGGAGCCACTTTTGGACCAGGACACACCAGTCTAATCTTTAAATGGGTACTTTATCCTGCAGGGTAAAAGTAAACCATTTTATAGCTGTGAATAAAAAAACACTGTGAGCTGGAAAAGGAAGTCTTGTCTGACAGTCTTACATGTACTGACTGACAAAAAGTTTAGGCCCTTCTGTTATCAGTGCGTATATACACCAGCGGAGAGCTGACATAAATCAAAGTGCTCCAGCATCAGTATAGACAAATAGTGTTGGTCAATATTAGGATCAGCTGAAGAGGTGGGATGCAGTAAAAGCCCAGAAATAAATGCAGTCGAGCATAAGTATAAAGTAGCTGAAAATTGAAATGCTCAAGCAAAGCACAAGTACCTCAAAACTGTACTTGTACAGTGGTTGAGTAAATATACTTAGTTACCTATACGAGCACTGCCCAGAGGTGTGCAAGCAAGTCAGCAACCACAAACCAAATGAAATCCAAAATCTCAATCAGTTTCAATCTTTTTTACATCCAGAGAAGAATGTAAAGGAGGTAAGAAAAAACATGTACACGTCCTCCTCAAATGTGAAAAATATAATGGACAGATCTGTCTTTCTCCTCTCAGCTGTTGAAGTCCAAATCAGATGGTGAGGTCGGACAGGCAGCATCATCGTGCACACTGCCGCACTCCAGTGGTGCCGCTCATGAGAAAAGTGCATCCGCTAAGGTGAGCACATCAGTTTAAAGCAGGGGTGTCAAACATATGGCCCGGGGGTAAGTGTCGGCCTGCCAAAGGGTCCAATCCGGCCCACTGGATTACCTTATACACCTAATCGTGGCAAAGAGGTGTCAGGTTTCAGGAGCAGGTTAAACACTGGGTAGCTTTCTTCATGTAAAATGCTGCTTCAGAGGCTTTTACAGTTCTTTTCTTTCACTTTAGTTTGGTGTGGTGATGTTGGCATTAATACACAGCAGTGGAAATGTACAGGAAAATACACATGTAATGACAGCGAAGAGTCGACTGACTGAATGTGGAAAAAACTGAGAAATATTGTTGAAACTGTATTAATTTAGGACATTAGGACATCACAGGCTGTTTGAGGTAAGGGAAAATATTTGGAGGTGTTTGTTATTTATAGGATATTATGCACTGGTCTGGCCCACCTGCGATCAAATTGGACAGTTTGTGGCCTGTGAACTAAAATGAGTTTGATACCCCTGATTTAAAGGAAATACTTAAGCCACAAAATGACCATTTGTATATCAATAAGTAATGACGTGTTACCTTGAATTTATTAAGAAAACTTTGTTTTTCTCACATGCCTCCATGAAAAAGGGGAACATATTGATTTACTGATAGAGTGGGAACCTCCTTTAAAAGCAACACTATATCAAGACATCTGTTTACAAACTCTCACACATGCAGTAAAATCCCATCTCATTTATCCAGTCGTATGATTAGTCCTTCCCACACATGCATTATCACTGAAATCTTATTATTTAAAACACTTCCGGATAAACAGTCTCGCACACAGATGAGCGCCTGGGCAAGTGCGTGTGTTTGAATGTGTGGATTCCACTGAAATTCCACTTCCCAGCCAGTTCATTGGCCATGAAGCAACAGGCGTGGGTGAAAGGCTGCAGAACTCCTGGCCAAGACATTGGAAACAGATGTTTCGATATAGTTTTGTTATCATTAAAATGCAGCCGACACTTTCTGCAGTTCAACAAGAATTTTCATTGTTTTTGGATTCTTTATTCACCATGGAGGCATGTGAGAAAAATTACGTTTGCCTCACAAATTCAAGGTAACAAAAGGCCCGTTTCCACCTAGAAGTTCCTGGTACTATTTGGGGGGCAGGAACTTTACAGGAACGTCCTCTCGCTCCGCACACCTCAACCGCCGTGTCTCCACTGAGAGGGCGGAGTAGGAGGAAGGTTCCTGTAAAGTTACCGGGCTCTGGATGTGACGTAATCGTTGCGCGACCATTTTGACCGGGGCAACGACTTTTAAAAATGCCAGCTATTTTGTCGCTTTCTGTTGACATCACATCCCACCTTGAGTATATCCAATCAGCACCAAGTAAACCCCAAGCCCCACCCAGGAGTTTTTCGGGCCATTCTGAGTACCTACTCCGAGGCAGGGACTTGTTTAGCCCCTGTAAAAGTTCCAGAACTCTGTCCTTAGGTGGTGGTTCCTGCGGTGGAGACACACACTAATGTCCCCAGCTCCGTAAAATTACCCCTAAGTTCCTGCAGTGGAAACAGGCCTAAAGAGTGAGTAGTTGTTATACAAATGCACTTTTGGGGGTGAAGTGTTTTCCTTAAAGTCTTAACTTAAGACTTGAAAGCTGATGTCTCAATTCTTTAATTAAAAAAGCCTCAATTAACAACAGAAAATCTATATCAAAACATCTGTTTACAATCTCTCACACAACTCATGCAGTATAATTCAAGTCTCATTTATCCAGTCATGTTCTCAGTACCTTCAAAACACATGCATTTTTGCTAAAACCTAAATAATTAAAAATGAATTGAAAGTGAAACTTATCTATGTTCCCTTTAAAGCCAGACTCCAGTACTAAGGTTTCATTGTGAAATGTCATGTTTTGGAGAGAATGTGACTGGATAAATGAGACTTGGATTATACTGCACGAGTTGTTTGAGAGTTTTTAAATGAAGGTTTTGATATAGTTTTGGTGTTAAACATGGTCTCCAGTAAATCAATATGTTTGCTGTTTTCTGTGGAGGCATGTGAGAAAAACAAAATTTTTCAAAGGTAAAAACAAACAGTGGTAACACAGCATGACTTACTGGTTTACAAAAGGTCATTTCAAGGGGAAAGTATTGTTTAACATATGTATATTATATAAAAAATTCTAGGTAACTGAATGTGTGGTGCTGTCTTTGTGTTTTTCAGGGGTTACAGTTGATGCTGAGAGAGATGTCCAACCCATTAGACATGGACTCCAGGTGTAAGCTGGCTCTGCAGAGCAAAGGTACTAGACTTTATCTATTGAGCACACTGGAGGGTTTCACCTGGCATGCACTCATAACATACATCTGTGCGAACAGTATATCAGCAGTGTGTCAGGTCTACAGATTCTGGATCTCATAGCAATGATTTGGCAGTATCAGTAGAGGGCACTGTAAGTCTGTGACAGCTGTCTCTGCGCCCTCTCCGCTCCCACAGATCTGTCACCCACAGTCCATCACTCCATCCTGCATCACCAGTCGCCACCGAGTGGCAACCAGGCGTACGACACCCTGAGCCTGGAGAGCTCCGACAGCATGGAGACCAGCGTCTCCACCGGCAACTCCGCCTGTACCCCAGAAAGGTGAGAGACTGGAAAATGAGCAATTGGCTCTGTTTCCATGGGAACACTCAAGTCTGCCCCGTCTCCCAGGAGAAGGGTCACTGCGCTTTGTTCCCGTGACAACATGTTTTGTTAAATGTCTGCTCCCGTGACTGCTGGTACACTGGCTGTTGCCATGCCAACCTCTTCAAGTTTTCAGTGCCTCATGAAGTTAGGAGTTAAAAGACTCAGTTTACGGCTGCTCATGAAGAAACCTTTGTCTCCTTCTCCTCCTGCTAACACTGTTTGGTTTCCAGGCATGTCTGTTTACTTTTTTCATCCTGAGCCTTGTCGTAGCTGTGTCATCAGACACCCCTTCCCTCTGTGTGTTGTAGTGCCTGCGGGTTAGAGGCCCAGAGGATAGAAGAAATGGAGAAGATGTTGAAGGAGGCGCAGCAGGAGAAAGCCAGACTGATGGAGAACCGAGTGAGTTCTTAACTTCAGTGCTAAACAGTTCTGGTGTAAAGGTCTGCTGCTCCCTAACATGACTGGACATCAGTTATCATCAGTTATCCAGTCACTTTCTATACTTCATCTCCTCCAAGTTAATTTCAGGTTTCAAAATGTTTGGTCAATGAATCAGTTAGTTGGAAAACTAACCAGCGACTACTCCATTAGCCTAATAGATTATTTAAAGGAACGGTGTGTAGGAAACTTGTGCTTAGCATGAGCTCCCAGTTACAATTCCCTCAGTTGTCACTGTTCAGGAGGTTTATAACGGGAGCCAAATTATCCGTAGAGGTCCCCTCCTCTCCAAAACAATTGAACCAGGTAATTAAAGCAGTAAAAAACACTGAATATAGCTGTTTCACATTACAAGTTAGTGTTTCTCTGAAGCTGTTTGCACATAACAGACAGCCAGCTCACCCTGCACCTGCTATGTGAACACACCTTTTTTCTTTAATAACTGAATCTGTGCTCACCTCATTTATGATGCACACGTTCAGGAGGTTTTTACTGGTAGCTGAATTATCCACAGAGGTCTCTTCCACTCCAAAACAAACAACACAGTGATTTAAACCTGTAAAAACACTGAATAAAGCAGTTTTACATTAAGGAAACATCTGTGTTTTTACAACTCTGCTTGTCGCAGAAGGGTTGCTAACTACAGTGGCTGGTGCAAATACACGTGGTCCTATGGCCCTATCTAGAGCCAGTGTTTGGTTTGTCCGTTCTGGGCTACTGTAGAAACATGGCAGTGCAACATGATGGACTCCATGGATGAGAACCTGCTCCCTATCTAGATATAAAAAGCTCATTCTAAGGTAACAAAAATACGAGGATTCTTACTTTCAGGTGATTATACACCATAGAAAACATACTTATATTATACTCCAATTCTGCCAATATATCCCCCTAAATTCTACACACTGGACCTTTAAGTATTTTTTAAGCAAAAACACTACAAATTAGGTAGTTCCAGATTTTCAGATGTGAAGATTTGCTGCTTTTCTGTGTCACAGATGATAGTAAACTGAATATCTTTGAGTGTTGGACTGTTGGTCCAATAAAACAAGCAATATGAATGCATCTTTATGGGCTTTTGGATTTTAAAATGGCCATATATAATTTTTTTTAGCATTTTATAAACAAAAAAATGTATTGATCAATCAAGAGATTAAGTGCCAGATTAATCAAAGTGAAAACAATCAGTAGGTGCAGCCCTAATTTCAACTAATACATGAAGTTATCCCCTCACCTCTGGCCTAATCGATTTAAGCTGCTTTCAGTAGTGAGAATAAAATAGATCTGCACTCTCAAGAGTCACATTTATGTTTCTGGCACTGCTGTGAAGGACATCAATAAAAATATATAGATTATTTGTATGGTTACATATTTTGTTGCTGGAATTAGGACCGGGCAATATGAATAAATCACGTCATCATATTACTGTCATAATATGGCAAATTCATGCTAATCACATATGAAATAGCAAAACTACTATTCGATGCAATAAATTCCAATATGTTTCATTGTTGTGCATTTTATTCAAAAGGATTAATCCGTTAATTTGGACTGCAGATTGTGTAAAACTAACATGATGTGATCACATTACTTCCCCTGAAAGTTGATAAGCATTAACTTTTTTATTTATTGCAGGAGTCTCATGTTTCTCCTGTTTAACAGATAAAAAAAAACTAAGTTTATCAAAGTGATAACTCGGCTCAAGGTGTGGTGAAATGTAGCTGTAAGTCGTTTGTTTACCTTTGTATTATTTCTACATGTTGAAACAAAGCACACCTGTATGTAAGTATCTGAAAGCTGCAAAGGATCATTTTACATCAGCAAAGCTTACCCTTCTATATACAGACTTAAGGGATATATTTTACAAAACCCTGGATTGGGACTTGAATTCTCCTGTGCCTCCTCTGACAGTCGTTCACTTTGTATTGCAATATTTGCCTACCATTTACATATTCTCCCCGTCTCCCTTTTGCCCCTGTTATTTTCCCTTCTCTTCTCTCCATCTGTTCCTCTTTCTCCTCTCCCGACGCTCCCAGGAGAGGGAGGTGCAGGCTCGGCGGCAGATGTTGGAGGAGGAGCGGAGGAGGCGAGAGGAGGCCGAGAGGAGGCTTCAGGATGAGACGGCCCACAGGCTGAGGCTGGTGGAGGAGGAGGTGAAGATGAGAGAGAAACACTTCTCCCAGGTCAGTGGAGCAGCGGGAGGAGACGGGCGGCGGGAAGAAGAGGGAGGAGGGGAGGGGAGGGGAGGGAGGAGGGGATGGGAGACTTGGGGGAGAGGATGAGAGGCGAGACACTAAAGAGAGGCTGGGAATATGGGAAGATCAAAGATTGTCAGGGATGGGAGAGAATGAAAGGGAGGGTGGAGAGAAAGAACAGAGAGAAAAATAGAGTGGGGGAGCACAAAAAATATAATGTGCACATAATTCATGCTTTAATCTTGACAGAGTATTTAATTACCAGTCATCTGTGGTATGAGTACTGTCAGTAAACAAATAACCTCAAATTATCAAATACAAACGCACCTAGTTCCACCTGGGTTCAACTTAAAGCTGCTATAATCAATATATTTGAATTACCAATGTATCAAAGGACTATGTGTAATATGAAACCTCTTAGTGATGAACCCTCAGAGTATTACCACCTGACTCTGTAGCTCCCAGTTTTAGGCCTTGTTTTGGTTTTACGTACACAAGCAGGCAGCTGTTCTCTGCTAAAAATCTCTGACAGGATTACTGTGAGCTACCCGCTCAGCATCAAACGGACAGACGCAAGCTGTGTCTCAATTCAGGGGCAACAGGACCGACATCGGCCACAAAGGCCACGTCCTTTGAAGACCGCATCAGCTAAACCGAATGGTCTCCTAAAAAGATCGGCCTGGTCTGCGGTAGATTTCCTGGTTGCATCACCAGTTGTTTTGCCCCGACCCGTTGGGATGCCTGTTACCTAGCAACCAGCTGCGAATGACAAAAGAAGGAGTAAGCTAGAAAGTTAGTTAGCCCTAAGTCATGGACCCAGAGATTGTTATTATATCTTTTATTTAATTATTTAATACTTGAGGAGATGATTCACCGCCGGAGACACTGCTGTTTGATATATTTCAGGCTGATGGTCCATTTTCAGGTAAACTTATTAAATTAGGATTTTAGTTAACCTGTCTAACAGTTAACCATTAGCTAGTTAACAACCGTTAGTTAACTTAATATATAATTGTCACCGGCACGCAATGCATCTCGGGAAAGGCTGGGCCACGAAGGATTCATCCGTTGCATCCTCCAAATTCTGGTAAAGAAGGCTGCATTTTTCGGCCGTATTTGAAGGAGCCTTTGGAATGGGACAGTCTTGGTCGCACCAATGTGACGCCATTGGTCTTCAAATACAGCCTTCGAAGGCTGCAGCCCCTGAATTGAGACACAGGCACAGTTAGCGACCAGCTGAACAAAGTTGAGCTTAAAGTCAAGTCAATGTTGGACCCCCATTCAGAACCACTACTCTACATAAATACTAATGTTGCTCTGTATCAGTATTTAAAGATATGCAAATGTTTGCTAACAAGTTCAACATCTCAACCTATGTCAGTGTTATGTTTACAACTTGCTTTTGCTGCCCCCAAGTGGCCAAAAAATGAGTTAATGCAGGTGTAAGTCATAAAAATAAGGACTCCACACTTGACCTGCGCTTGACTGTCCTGAGACTTGACTCAATGGAAACTTGAGTCTTTAAAGGAATACTTTATCCTCAAAATGATCATCTGTATATCAGTTACTCACGCCATTACCTTTAATTTCTCACGTCCCCATGGTGAACCAAGAATCTGAAAGTGGAGAAAATTCTTGATGAACAGAAATCAAAGGGGACTGCATTTAAAAACAGCTTACAAAACATCCATTTACAAACTCTCAAACAGCTTGTGCAGTATTTATCCAGTGGTATGCTCAGTACTTCCGAAGTCTTACACAGGGATAAAGGCCTGGATGCATTTGAACTCGAGCATTCCATTGAAATCCCACATCCGTGCTCGTTCAATGGCCATGAAGCGACAGGCGTGGGTGAGAGACAGCAGAACTCCTGGCCAAGTAGTTGGAAACAGATGTTTTGATATAGCTTTTATGTTGTTGAACGCAGCCCACATTCACTTCATTTCATCAAGAATGTTAGCCCCCCCCCCCCCCCCCCCCCCCCCCCCCCCCCCCCCCCCCCCCACCCCCCCCCCCCCCCCCCCCCCCCAAACAAATAACCACATTACTCCCATGTCTTCATCCTCTCACACACACTGATCTTCTTCACAGGCCCGTCCGATGACACGTTACCTGCCGAACCGTAAGGAGGAGTTTGACCTGCGTGCCCACGTGGAGTCGTCCGGCCACAGCATAGACACCTGCCCCTTCGTCATCCTCACAGAGAAGATGTGCAAGGGCCACTTGGTGAAGATGGGCGGCAAAATCAAATCATGGAAAAAACGCTGGTTCGTTTTTGACCGTATCAAGAGGAACTTCTGCTATTATGTGGGTGAGGATACAGCAACGTTTCCACATTATATTTGTTTAATTATTTCTGCTGAGTGATTTGTTAGTTGAGCTTTATTAAACAGGAAAGTCTCACTGATTGAGACATTTATTTTCAAGAGAGACCTGAAGATCAGTCACATGAGATCTAAATTAAAATGATCATAAAAGTTATGACAAATACAGAAGAATGGTGTTTATAACTTCTAAGTTTAGTTGCAGCTCATTTCAGTAATAAGGAGTCCTGGAGACCAGTCTTCCCCTGTTCAGAACTGGTACAGTGAACTTTTAAAGTGAATGTATCCTGTCAGTACAGGAACACACATTGGAACTGGTATCTCGTATATGATGAGAAAAAATTAAGCAGCTAAAGTTCAAACACAAACACTGAGAAAGATGAAGAAGCCAAGAGCTCGCTCAGTTTCACATTCAGTTAGTTCAGGGAGCCTTAAGGTGCTCTTGAAGATGAATAAACTGATCACAGATAGGAAAACGTTCTTCAGGCATAGCTGAGCAGAGCACAGAGAGGAGTGCTGTGGTGAAACTACAACGTTCCGGAGATGAACAACTTAAAGCGCATCCAGTGGATATATACGCTGGTGAAAAATAATACTTCATGATCAAGGTTGGAACTGAAATTATAAAAGGAATATAGGCTACTAGTCATAAAAGTGAAACGAAATGGAAATGAAATGGTCAAATTAGGGATGGTTGCTCATGCTCACCCTTCTGTCCATTTACATTTGTCAACATTAATCCCAATTAGTATGACTGTATGAAAAACTAGAATTACCGCCTCACAGTTGTGTGCCTCCTCACACCAGGCAAGGTGCACAACAGTTTACATTCATGTCTGTGAAAACATGGATGCCTAATACACCTCCTCCCAGCAGCACAGATCTACACAATCAGTCTCAAGGTGGACACCCAAAATTAGTGTCACCAATTCAGTACTCAACCAAATGTCTCCCCTTCTGTTCCTGAGTTATGATGTTGAATAGTGGAAAGAAAAGTGTTTTTGCAGAGCATTATGATGTCACAGTGAAGCTGACCTTTGACCTTTTTGATTTAATAGTCAACACCTAATCATATTATCCTGTTAGACATTTGTCTGAAATTTGCCATAATTAGTGTATGAATTCTTGACATGTTTTGTGAGGTCACAGTGACCTCTTGACAACCAATTTTTTTGACCAGTTCATTTTTAAGTCCAAGTGAACGTTTGTGTTCATGAGAATGAGACGGATGTAAGGTCACATTAACCTTTACCTTTGACCACCAAAATCTAATCACTGAAGCACTGAGTTGTCAAATGTGAATAAATTCCCTCAAGGCATTCTTGAGATACCGTGTTCACAAGAATGGGACGACAGACAGAAGAACAACCCAAAAAACAAAATGCAGGCATAACATGTTTTCATTTTTAAATGTTGCTGCCGCAAGGAACTGTGGGACAGAATTATCTCCTCTCCTTTCGTAAAGGATGGTCCAGTTTACCCTGTGCTAACGGAAATGAGGAAGGAAGCACTGAAGCACCTTTCCTCAGCATTTAGGGAATTCTTCCAGGTCATTTCACTCAGTTTGGAACCTTCCTCAGCAAAAAAAGGACCGCTCAACCACATCCCTGCTCTTCATCAGGGTGGAAATAGTAAAACAGACTCATGGTTCTCCAAATAGGACGGCAGAGGAGATACCCGCACACCAATATAACTGGGCTGGACAGAAACAAAAAAGGTTCACAGGCCATAAAAGTGTCAATTTATCTAGAACATCTGTGCACAAAAAGAAGGGTGCTCAAAGTGCAAAACATCAGTCCATGATTTTCGTTAATTTTATTCAATTAATTTTTGCACTTTGAGCACCCTTCTTTTTGTGCACGGATGTCCTAAATAATTTGTTTTGTTTTTTTTCATTGATCTCAGCCTGTGAACCTGTTTTTGTGGCTGTCCAGCCCAGTTGCATTGTTGTGCAGGTATCTCCTCTGCCATCATTTCTTGGTTGCCCATTGTACCGACGCACCCAAGATAAACTTTTTTGTTGCCCTAAGTAGGCGCAGTTTCACACCAGCCCTTAGACTTTGCACTCTAAATAGACAGTGCACCCAAAATGTACAGTATCGCAAATAAATCAAGTACACACACATACAGATTTAACAATGATATCAAAATACTAATAAACCCAAAAATGTGAAAAATATACATATATTGACCACACAAATTAATCATAGCAGTCCCATCAATAGGTACAATTAAGACATGTATAATTAAAATGTGTTCATAATCTACTTCCTCATTCAAACCCAAATCTATTAATGCATCAACTGTAAAAACACAATAGGTTTCCCTCTTCAGCAGTTTGTTCAATCATTTATTTTTCTACCCTCGAGACTATCATGTCCCACATCATGCTTTGTGTGGACTCTGCAGACACATCTGTATATAAAAAAACGTGTCATATGTTAAGACTGTCGATTAGAATCCTCTTAAAATTTGTAAACACCTCTTAAAGAGCATCTTAAGCAAAAAAAATCACTCTCTTCCTCCCTCCGCTGTGCCTCTCAGGCCTAAAAGTTGCAGCCTACGTTATTAAATACTACTCAATGACATGTGAACCAGGTTTTCACAGGATGCAGGACTAATAGCATGACTTGAATGAACTTTATTGGATCCTCTATAAAGGATCCTTTTGTGTTCAGGTTCTGCTTAACTTGTCCAATTAAAGTCTCAGGCCTCATTTACAGAAAAAGATTTGGTCAAACCAGTTTGCTCACACAAGAATCCAGTCCAATGTAGATTTCATAAACTCAGAACTTAGTGTAGAAAAGTTCCTGCAGTACACCAGGCCAGGACCTGATTTATTCAGTTCAGCCGAAAGCAGTGCCGAGGCGCTTCTGAGAAATGTACACTTCGCTCTCTTTCCTGTGTTTTTCAATAAAACCCGACTTCTGTCCCGACCAGCGTTTACTCATCTGGAGCCAAACACTAATTAAAGCTGCACTAAGTGGAATTTTCCGCCTCGTTCATGTGTGTTAAAAGTCAGTTTGTAATTCATGTCTACAGGACTGTCCCCCTGAATTTGAAACGAGAGCAGTTAGTTTTCTGAATAATTCATGAGCGTGTTTTTTAAGACATAATTTTACAATCAAGTTGAAAATAGAATCCGAGTACATTTTCATTACTGTCGCCCCTGTTCTCTTTGCTCCTCTCTCTCTCTCTCTCTCTCCACTCACTTGCCTAGCCTTTTCACCCCCTTACTCCTGACGAAGATGATGGTGATGATGGTGATGAAATAAGATGCAATACTTTCTCTAGATGTGTTTTTCTTGGGGAGGAGGCTAGCTCCTGGCTTGTTCGTGACTAATAAAACGAAACTCACATTTCAAAAACATTTATCTCATTACTAAGCAGATTTGACTTATGGAAAAGGGAAAGCAAGAGAAAGTGTCAGACGTATTTCAAAAGATTGCCTTTAATTGTTGCTGGATGTTTGCTTCTTTAGCCGGGTGCTCCAAGTGTGCATGGAAGAGACAAAAAGACCAATGTTTATTTGAACAAGAGTGGAATCCAGAAACTCTTTGAACCGATTTCATTTGAAGAAAATTGATCTTAGACGTGAGAAAAATGAAATGCCTACAGTTTAGCCCCAAACTAGAGAAACCCATCAGTCCGACCGCTGCGTCCGACGAGCTGCAGCCACAGGTTTCCCTCAAACATAAAACTCTTCAGTGTGAGTGACTTTAAATGCCCAAAGATATTCTGTGAATGGAAAACAGACATCCAAAGGACCGGACAGAAGGTCTGACCTGCTGGAAGGGGAATGTTGAACCGATCTGATACACAAAAGAGAGGCGCTTCTTTTTAAGTTTACAAAAGACGTGAACCTCGCCGGCAGGGAGGAGGCTGAGGGGGAAAAAAAACACCATAGAGACGATCCAGAAAGTACGACTGAGGAAAACAAGTCAAATTAATAGGATGGCAAAGACTTCAGGCATAGCTTGAAATAGACTTGCACTTTTAATTAACTTTTACTGTGATACTGTGCTGCTCATACCTATTCATGGGTTATGTGTTGTTGGGAAAAAGAGTTAACACCTCTTTTTTTTTTGCTTTACAGCTGTTTTTGTCTCTGGGTTCTCCATCTAGATTTAAATTAGTGTCCCTTTATTTCACTTACTTACAAACTACTTTTATGGCAGGATTTTATTTGTGTGAAAAGCCACAAGATTAATAAAAAAGATGCAATTTTTCCTCCTTAAATTAAGTCACAACAAACAATCCTCATCTCTTCAGATATATCTGGTATTCACGACTGAATCGCTCGGACCTGTCACCGCTGACAGACAAGGCAAAGGGAAATTTGTCTGAGAGTAAAATGACTTAAGCAGGAAATTACAAAAGAAAAGGTCAATCACACATTTTCATCAGTTTTATCCTGGATAAGTTTACAGATTTTACTTTGTCATTTATACAACACATCTATTCGACGTGTGTGAACTGTTTGACAAAAATATTTCTTATTTTGTGCCCGTTCTTTATTTCTTTTTCATGACAAAAAATATTTCTAAACAGGAGCAGAAGTAAATGTGCATCTTATTTTATTTTTGTATTTTTTCCAGATCATTCTGTTGTTGTTTTTTAGGCTAAAATGGCTCAAAAATCCCTGAAAAGGCCGCATGTTTAAAGACAGATATTGTAAAATTAAATATTATTTGTGACATCTATCTACTGTTCCTCTCTCCAGGTGCTTGTTAGAAAATAAAAAAGAGACAGCTCGTTATTATTTGACCAAACATGAAATGTATCCCCACATCTGATTGTGATTGTACTGTCTGCCTGGGCTGACAGAGGTCTTGCATCAGTACAAGACGTAATGTAATGTATCTTAATATGTTTTTCTTTCTCTTTTCTCCTCTCAGACAAGCACGAGACCAAACTGAAAGGACTCATTTACTTTCAGGCGATTGAAGAGGTTTATTACGATCACCTGCGCAGTGCCACAAAGGTAACGGACGCTCTTTTTTCCATTACTTACAGTTGAGAAATTCATCTAGGATTTTATAATGTTTGCAGGGATGTCGATCATTTTTAAATTTAGCAATAGTGGAATAAAATGTGAAGGGTTTGCTTCCAAAATTCTAAAAATGTCCTTACATTTACCCCTAATGAACTTTATTTCAACGTGTAATTCAAAAAAATAATTTGTATTAAAATAGTATACTCATTTTAGAAGAAAGCAGTTGGTACTTTCATTCATAATTTATGGTTACTGTGAGGAGGTTTGACTGTCTGTGAGCAGCAATTGAAACATAATTAAAATGTCCTGCTGCCAAATTGGATATCTGTGTTACATAAAAATGAAGACGTTTGCAATTGAGAGCTTTTTTTAGTTGGTAAAATCCATATTAGACTGGGTAAAATTGATTTTTCTTCTTCTTAATTTAAGATACAGGATGTTACAGACTATAAAAACACATTTAAATGTTAGTATGTGCTGGTATATACTCTGTTTGTGTCTGAGGAAAAGATGCAACAGGTGCAGCCTGCAGTCTAAAAGGTCTCCCTCTCTCCCTGTGCTCCTCCAGAGCCCCAACCCGTCTTTGACCTTCTGCGTGAAAACCCACGACCGCCTCTACTACATGGTGGCCCCGTCTCCAGAGGCCATGAGGATCTGGATGGATGTCATAGTAACGGGCGCCGAGGGCTACACACAGTTCATGAGCTGAGGGACCACTGGGTGGCAGATTTGGAGGATGACAGGGACTGAGGGAGCGACCCCAGACACCTGCGAGCCAACCTGAGCCGCAGCTGGAGCTTAAATATGAGACACACGGCCTGACGGTGTGTAACCGAGGCACATTTGAAGAGACGTATAATGTGGGGCTCTCATAAAAAGCCTGATGCCTTCGAGCAAATGAGGGTTTAGTGTTGACAAAGGTGCAATTCAAAGAGTTTGTTAAGAAGTTGTATTTATCTTTCAGCCGCTATGAGAAGGAAAACAGTTTGAGCAACCTGCCAATGGATCCACGAAAGGAGCTCTCAATTACATCAATCACATTCTGCTACCAAAATGTAATTAATTACAATATAATTTCTGATATTTCAGGAGGAACACTTAATATAAGCTCCAACAGTTTCCACCTCTGTAGCCGATGTGTGCGTGCAGTGTTATCACTCTAACGATGCCTTTCCCTCCTTTTTTGATACATTTGTACTTTTTTTTCTTCAGTTTGTAACTTTTCTCAGATGAAAGATTAATATCTTGATACTTCAAAACACTAAAAAGGAAAAATTTAATAGCAAATATTCTAAAAAAATATTCTAAAAGAGTCATATGTTACTTATTTGATTCAACATTACTTGTTGCTGCATATTTTATGTAATGTTTTGTCAGATTTCTACAATGCAAATGTTAATATCACTCTATATATTGATTTATTCAGGCATATAACTCAACATTAATCTGTCTGTACTTTACATAAATATGTCAAAGAAAACCTTCTATGAGCATTTTAACAAAATCTATAAATTATAGTCCTATAATGATGCTGTAAAACGACCGTGTACATGGAATAATAAAATTATATGGTGCATCTGTTGGTTTGTTTTGCCTGGTGAATTAGTTTGCTGCAGACAAATTGGTTAAACTGAGGACATTCAGTTACAAACTGCTTCCTGCTTCCTTAATTAGCTCCTCACGCAAACAAGTCTTTAATTACCAGCTTTCTTTAAATAATCTCATGCGCCCTAATGAGCAGCGAGCGTTCACATTTAAATGAGAGCACACAATAGGTGTTCCCTTTTGCAGCTTCTCTATTTACACAAAAACAGTCAGGTGGTTTGATTTGTTAATTGGCCTGTTAACTCGGATTGTCTACAGAAGTTGTTGCAGAAGTTTTGAAATCATAAACCATATTTGTGCAGTGTTTCTAGCAGGACGTAATTAGTTATGTGGCTCGTGCCGCACGAGGTAGGCCACATAAATATAAAAAAACATGAAGTGAAATTACATGCAAGTTAACATGTATGATTCAACATCGAGAAATTTGAGATCATGTAAGAGAAAAAAACCCCATAAACAAACTTGTATGAAAATATATTCGCACAATGTATCTCTTCTCGTGCTCTGGTGCATGTGCAGATAGATGATAATATACGACTGTGGCTGTGTGATTAATTTATTGCAGGGAATCACTGGAATATTTAACAGACGCGCAGGTAATCACGCAAACACACATTACCCCTGACAAGTACAGATTAGACTCAGCACTTGAAAGGTTAATTTTTAATTGCCCTGGTTGGAAGTGAAAAACATTTAGTGGTTCTTATTCAAATTACCAGTTCAGTACTTAAAACTCAGACACTAGAGGGGACTGCATCTGTCTGCAGCTCACTTGACAGCGTTCACACCAACTGCGTCTCTCTGACCTTGGGAGAGATTTTCACACATCGTGCCATTCAGTATCTTTGAGTCTCTGGCGCACCCGGCTGAATAATAAACAGATCTTTAAGAGGGCAGTGTGAGCTCATTACCGTGGTGATGAGCATGAGTGACACCCAGCCTTATTGTTGGTGAAATATTAATGAGCCCTGGGTGATCTCCACTCACTTTCACACGCGCAGACTGGCCTTTCCCCGAGGCCTCGGGAGCACAAATAAGATTGTCGGGCTGTGAATTAGCACGGGTCTTGCATGATTTTGTCAATATTAATGGGAGATATTAACCGTGTCTGAAAACAACCTCAAAAACTCTGATGAAACGGAGATATCTGTCGGATAAGAGGGCGAGTTTACAGCTTCACCTGTCAGAGACTTCCACACGCTTACACCCTTCACTAAAAATTTCAGCGCAGATGTTTGTGATTTACAACTTTTCATATCCACATGTGAGTTCAGAGTAATTTAGGAGATTAAAGAGAGAAATCTCCTGCCCAGCCCCAAACATGCCCACACACACACAAACACAAACACACACACTCAGACGCAGCAGATGAAAGAAGCCTTCACTAAATGCATCTGATACACCAGTGAAAGTTCCACTCTTAATGTTTACCGCTTTGAACAAATCATCTTCTCTCGCTTTGAAGGCGATGTAAAATGACACTCATGAATTCCAAATAGGGTACACAATGTACAAATCGTTAAATTACAATAAAAGAAACATGTTTTCGGATTTCATGGCAGGCACAACAATGATATCTGAAAAATATCCAGAGGGGAGAATAAGCAGAAGCACCAGCGCTGACCTAATGAGGCCAACAAAAACAGAGATAGTGAACACAACTGCACCCCAGTGTGGGATATTATTCTTTTTTATTTCCTTCACTAGCAGCCATGAAACTGAAGTACTTTCCTTTATCACTGCAGTGTGGAAACATGCAAGTATCATACTGTGCGTGTTCAGTGCTTCTATCAGCCCAAATTTTAGTTAATAAATTGTTTTTTTTAACTGTAAAAATACTAACATCTCATATAATAGAAAGTGAAGTAAAGGATTGGTTATGTGGGCTCTGTTTTTAAGTTTCCTGTCCATTACATCATCATCATTTTGGGGAACAATGTTAGGGTACCATGGCCTTGACCTTTGCCCTCAGTAAGTCTGGTGATGTAGGAATTAGATTTATAGTTGTATTAATATAAAAACATCATCTTCTTGACTAAATTGTAATGTGAAAATGTTGCACAGTAAAGCCAGCTGTTTTAAAGTGTCATTCTTAAACAGATGAATTATTAAGTTCAATATGAAATGAAGTTGAGTGACTGTTAACGGTGAGCAAGAGAAGCATATGGCATGAATGAATATCGGCTGTGTAAAGCTCAAAGGCGATAGACGCTCAGCCTCTGGGGTTTGAAAGGCTCTGCAGGGCAGCGTGATACGGCTTGAGTGCTGTGAATGACACCGAGGAACCTTTTGGGACTTGTTTGCCTAAAGAGCTAAAATTCTGAAGGACACAAGTGATGCACGAACGGTAAGTCTGAGTTAAAACCTGCGATGCTAAATTAATTATTTCGCAATCTTGGTAATTCTGCTGTTATTGTTGTTCATGACTTCATTTTTTTATACAACATTTAATCCCATTAAACAGATATCTGCATATGAATGCACAATCTGTAGGCAACAGGACAAGACTTTGGTATCGGAAACATTCTGGTTTCTGTCTGATGACTGAGTAGAATTGACCAGTGATGTTTGAGTGGGTTTTGGTTACATTCAAGTTAACAGAGCAAAAGAATCACAACGTACTGACCAAATGCAATTTCAGAAGGCAGCATCGATCATCTGACAATGCTTTAGCTTTTAATTAATTTTGATTTGGGGGAATAAATTGGCAGAAATCATATATAATATATATAAGTCTGTTTTCTTATGCATAATGACTTAAAAAAAATAACTTTCATGTTTTTGTTACCTACAATGGGCTATTTCTATACAGGAGCAGATATCCACCGAATTCGCCATGTTGCACCGCCATGTTTCTACAGTAGCCTGGAACAGACAAACCAAACACTGGCTCTAGACAGGACCATTTGCGTTTTCATATTTTCATGTCAGCCACTGGTGTATGAAGCCCCTCCGAGATGAGCTGTGTCGGAAAAACGCTCATTTGTAATGTGAAACAGCTTTATTCAGTGTCATATCTGGTTTAAATTAGCAGGTGTGTTTACTTTGAAGGAGAAGAGACCTCTGAATAATTCGGCTCACGGTAAAAAACTCCTTAAAGTCTGTATCTTCAGATAAAAGAGAAAAGGGGTGAGTGAACATTAGTAGGTGCTGGGTAAGCTGGGCTGAACAGCATCGGAGAAACACTGATTGTAACATAAAACTATTTTAAATACTGGTTTAACTCACCAGGTCCATTTGTTTTGGAGAGGAGGAGAAGTCTGTGGACATTTCGGCTCCCTGCAAAAACCTGCTCAACAGCTGGATCAGAAAAAGGGTGAGCACACATTATCAGAGATTATAGGTGAGCAAACACTAGCAGGTGCTGGGCTATTTGAAATGAGCCCACAGACTGTATAATGATGATGGACAACATGACAGCTTCCCCAAAAGTGAAGCCAAAACATCTCAATCTCCCCCTGGTGGCTGGCTGCATTACAGGCCATAAACCACACCCCCTTTAAATTAGAGGATGGTACATGGGCCAAACTTAAAGATCAAAATATATGTCAAATAATTTTTCCCAAAGATGTTTTCTGTCATTTTTGGTAGTTCTAGTCACGCTGATGTGCTCAAGTGGTTGTTTTTGATACGTTTGGTTTTAATTAGTTATTTGATGCTTTCAATAAAGGGGGCTTTACGTCAGGGTTGACAGCTGTGTGTGCCAGTTGTGCTCTTGATCAGTTGCGCTCTTTGGGATTGATCAGACGGGTCTATTGACAGGAACTCAAGACCATAGAGATTGGTACTGCACAGACTTTGGCTCCAAATGACATCATCAGAGCAAGATGGCAACAGCCATATCCGGAGTACTTTGGCTTCATTTTTGTGGGGGTAAGCGGAGACTCATTGTCCATCTTTCAATACTAGCTATGGACGATGCATTATTCAGTCATTTTTAAAGATTTTGATCACCTGGTCTGTTTGTTTAGGAGAAGAAGAGACCCCTGCAGATAATTCAGTTCCCAGTAAAAACCTCCTGAGCAATGAACACAGAAGGAATCCTAAACAGGAGGTCACGCTTGACACATGGGAGAAGTTTAAGCTGGTTGTAATCTGCAATCCTCACTGCTACATGCCGCAACATCCTACACACTGCTCCTTCAAATGTATCTGCTTTCATATGCAGATATTTGTTTACAGAGATTAACCAAAATGTCCATTCATGCCTCTTCAAGTGCTCATCGGGGTGTTGACAATGACCGGTACACGGAGGAGGAACCCCTGAAATACTAGCTGTTGCTTTGGGAGGTGTTGTCAAATGATAGCCGATGGATTCCAAGATTGTGTAACACTTAATTTCTCCATCCACAATATACGCCAGTCTATCAACCTGCTGATATTGAAGTTAACTTTTACAATACAGGGTTTAATTTGTTTCCACACCAGGTCAGTACAGGCTGAGCTTTGTGCCTTCAGGATGCCGTTAGGAATTAGAGCTGGTTAAAGGTGATCTCCTAAAAGCTGTGACATCCCGAAGGGGCACAAAACAGGCACTGTAGCCCTTAACATCAAACACCTCTAATTTACCGCGAAGTCCTTGAGGAGTAGTAAATAAACACAACCCTGCGACTAGCTGCTTCACATCTGTCAAAGCCGAATGCAAATGAAGCTAGCCAACACACCGATCATGAATGAAAATTACATTATGGTTGTCACTTTTTTTGAAACTTGATTAACTGTTTTCGTGCCAAACAAATAAAGTGATTTGTAGGCTGAACACACACAAAAACATCCACAAATCCCCCCTGAGAGGCTCCCATTCACAAGTCATAACTGAATTCCATGTTTTCATCGTATGTTCAAAGAGGGGCAAAAGTTGAGGACAATAAATTCTGAGAGAGATGATGATGAAATGATGGTGTAACCCTTACTAACGTGCCATACGTGCACTTGGCATGCAGCATCAACTTTTTTCTGACTTCTCGCCTC